GCTGGTACCCAAAGCCATAAAATTAAGAACTAGGCCACGCCCACTAGGTTTATTCCACTTGCACCTGTAGAACGTGCGAGACAAAATTGGTTTATTCCAATTTGTACTGAAAAACCAAATTTACTAAAATCTTAGTGTACTTTCTTTATGGGAGACTCTTGTTTATCTTAAATAATAGGTATTGTTACCTACTTTTATCTCTGTGAATATGGCAAGAATGCAAAGTAACACGGTGTATTAGACTATTTTCTTACGTGTATCCGTCCTTCCTTAATGTCCTATGTCCCCTAGATGGGTAACAGAGGGCGTCCACAACAGTTTTCCATCGCGTTCGGTCTAAGGCTTCGCGTTTGATTTCTCTCCAAGTCTTGTAATAAAGTAATAAATTAATCTTGTGCACAATTGTGTTCGTAGATGCTACACATGGCGAAGCGTCCGTTCGCGTCGGTGACGGTGCTGCTCAACGGCACGCTGACGGGCGCGGGCCGGCGGCGGCGCGGCGCCGAGCTGCGGCCCGTCGCCATCGAGCCCACGGGCGACGGCCGCGCCGCCGTCACCTCCGTGCTTGTGCGGTGAGTTGCATTCACTTGTTTTAACTTGCCATCAGTGGCGTAGCTAGGTAACCAAGGGCCCTGGGGCAAATAAAAAAAAAATGGGGCCCCACTGCAATCTAAACTGGTTAGGTTTTATCAAGTTGATTGACACTAAGCTTACTTACTGTCCTGATATTGCATTTTTTTAACCGTTCTCTTCCTGAGCTTGGGGTCCCCGGGGTACTGCCCCGCCTTGCCTCTTAGTAGCTACGCCCCTGTTTGCCATTAAGGCTTCTCCAAACAGAACGCGTACTTAGCGCGCGCTAGAGCATCAAATTGTGTTGCATCAAGTCAAACACAGCGCTGGCGCTAGCAATACGCAACGCTCTGTCGCAGCGTTAGGATGGTGTGACACCGGATTATACATTCAACCAATACAATTCAGCGCTAAAGCACGACGTCAAGCTAGCGCTTTACGCCGCGTAAGTACGCGTTCTATTTGGCAAAGCACAAGTGGTACAAGCACCAGTAGAACTCTGCTACCAGACTTTAAATAAATTAAGTGGTTTATATTGTAAAGTATATCTTAAATACATACGGTTTAANCAGTTTTCTAAACTTTCATAATAACACAAAAAAATATGTACTTAATAGGCCATTATTTTCTGTAATCGCTCCACTAAAGTGGTACGTCGGAGATTCCGTTACATATTTTTGACTTTCTTAGGACTAAGTAATATTTGCAATCCCCTAAGTTTACGTTACGTAGAACACATTTAGAGACAATAACTGAAAAGATTATTTTTATCCACAACGTGGAAGCTCTTGCCCTTCATCTGACCTGATGGAAAGTTGGAAACTGATGGATGATCAGCGAGCTTCACCCGGAATCCTAAACCACAGAGGAATTGGCTGTCCTAAATAGGTAGTCTTACCACTAGACCACAGTGGTGATTGTTACTTTACGATTAAATTTGATATACTGCGCAGTTTTTAAAAATATTTTGGACCTATGGAAGGTCTTTTTTTTTTCAAACTTTTAAGTTGAAAATTTTAGAATGTTCTGCTAAAAGCATTTTTTTATTTTTCTAGCAAAAATTTTGTATCCTGCATCAAAGATAGAAAGGTGATTATTTTTTTCAAACATCTGCAATTACTAGGGAATCTGTCAAAAAAAAGAAATCTGAGAAAAGTTAACCCAAAAAAAAAGATAAAAAAATTTAAAGCCTACTAGGTCATAAAATTTTAAAAAATCACAAAATTAACGATAACTTTTAAACTACGAAAAATCGTAGAACATACATGGGGGTGAAATCGATAGGTCTAGTCCTCACCTATCACCTGCCTTCGGCTTGACACCTTACAAGAAACACCCTGTATTTATGGTTACCATAAACTGTGGTGACTTTCGTCCTAAACATCTTTCTGAAAATATAATATGATGAAAACACAGCAACTTTTCTTCAAAATAAGACTAATATACATTTTATTTATTATATTTTTTATGTAAACATATATGTTTGCTTATTAATTATTATTTAAGGAGCTTAACTACTCGACAGCACTTTGTTTATGTGTCTTAATAATTGTGTTGTCTTGCCTCAGTTCTATGTAACAAGTTTATAATGTTGTTCGTTTTGTAAATCGGTTTCATTATATTTTATTGATATAATATAATAATATGGATTCAATATGGTTATTTTACACCATTGCATCGCGGCATTGATTAATGATTCTCAAGAGTTTATTTTAATTTAATTATGATTGCCATTGAGTATAATTAATTTGAAATTGAAGAATTAGTTATCAAAGCAGTTTAATAAATTAACTAAATTAGTAAAATGTATTACATGGAAGCAACATAAAATATTTATTTAATATAATGCTAAACATAATGATACATTATGTTTAAAATGGTGTAAAATAGTTTCTATAACAATGCTTCAAGTTTTCTATATAATTTAAACAAGAATCAATTGAATCTCAACATAAAATTACTCTTAGACAAAACCAAATATTAAGATTTCAACTAAATTTATCTAAGCATGCTCATTTGTAAGCTACAGTATTGTGTAATTTGAATGGTACAATTACTCACTTGTATAGTATACATACAGCAAAACAAGACATTGCGATTGTAGTGAATGTATGTGAAATAGTCATTTTGATGTAGATAACTAACTACCTATCTCAATAGATGACCTGAGTTTATTACGTTCTATAAACTTGTCATGAAGATGTATTCTATTAAGATCTATTAATATAACAATTAATGTAATTTTAAGCTAAAAATTAACTACTATAATTATCTATCATTGTAAGAGAGTACTGATGTTGTTATAATAACTATCCTAAGTGATACATAATCAAATATTACATTTGATCAAAGTATAAACAAGTCCAAATTACATTCCATTGTATATGTTGTACATAATAATACACTTGTATAATCAAATTAGATCAGGTATTGAAGAGCTTTAAGGATGTTATACTAAGAAAATTTATTGCTCATGTACTTCTATTCGAACTTTCTCATTAATTGTGTATTAAAAATGCATTTAAGTACACCTACTATTTATTTTTATGATTGCAGTTTTAATTATTATTCCACATTAATGGGGTAACATAAAGATAGTTCTGACAAAAGGTAAACCAATAGTTTGTGAATAACTAATAAAATATTGTATATGTATCTAATCAAGTTAATAGCATTTCATTGATAATTTTTTATCACATAACCTATTATTTGCAGTCAATAAAATGTTTGTACATAGTTATTTAGGCATTCAGGGCAGAAAACAATTTCCAGTAAATATTACAGTATGATCTCAAATTGTGTTCAATTATACACTCATACATTCTGGTTTTACCTTTTGTTGCGAAATTTTGAACTGTTTTCACTATTTTGAGGTGTTGCATGGTTTGTGTCATTTTTATAATCAGCTTTATTTATTGATAATATTGCATTGCAGCTATTCCTGACATTATGAATATAATTTAAGATAAAACATTGCATTTAAGTCAATATTATATAAAAAGAGGAAGGGTATTTTCATTCTGGTGTTATGGGTATTTCATATTCGAATAAGCATGATTTACTTGCTCAAAAATATTTTTTGATATGCAATTATAGCTCAATAATGTTCGTTTATATTCACTAATATATCTAGCTAATTATACTAACTAACCATTGGTTTATCTATTCCATTGTTTTACTTTCATCTAATTAATTCAAATATACATATTATGTACATTTACAATATAAATGTTGTGGCTTCATAACTCAAACTGTATCTTTACTTTACATTAGCATTACTCTAACTGTAATATTGTTGTATGGTAAGTCCATGACACAATGTCAGGCAAGCAATACTTTCATGACAGTCAAATAGCATCTGATAGCAGTATTATGTATAAGCAATATATATTTTTGTTTAATCTAAATGTAAAGTGTTTATAAATAAAATATACTGTTGGTTGTAAATTAAGTTTTAATTAAAGCTCCCAAGAATCCTAAGACAGAAAACTGATAAATGGTTGTTCTTTTTTAAATAAATTATTGATCTTTTTGAGTTAGAAGGTGAGTTTTAATTTTCTGGAGAAGTTCCTTTTTGACTGTGTCCGGAACCAAAGCTCGAGCCCGTGGTGTTACTTTTGTAACCAACATATCAAAAGTAACATTGGTAGTGTCATTTTCTTTTACTACGTCTCTGCAAAGCATCCTCACTTGGTCGCGCCAACCACATTCAATAAGTCGTCGTCTCAATAATTCTTTGAACCTGAAAATAATATTTTGTGGATTATTTATACATTTGAAATTCAAACAGACAAATGAAACTAAAATGATGACTTTCTAGTTTGGAAGAGGCCTATAATTTACGCATTGAGGGTATAACAGATGAGAAGTGAATGTTTCTTTAATAATTTGATTTAAAATACTAAATTTAAAACCTTTCTCTATCTCCACTGAGGATTAGGCGTTGATGAGCTATAGTGTTATTCACGGTCATGATTACTGGTTTCTTCACTTATTACTTAGTTTAAGTAAAGTAGGTAGTTCTACAATGGTTCAAATTATCATTACTATACAAAAACACCCTTTCACGGTCAGATAAAGTGCTGTGTAGATACTCGATTTTGTTGTTAAAAATAATCGTAAATCAACAAACAAAAGTGCTTGTCAATCAGTCACCATGTTCCACAAAACAAACGTCAAATTTTGTAATTGGCAAAAATTTTGACGTTGACGTTCAAAGATAAAGTAATTTAAAGATCAAGTTATACGTTTTTCTAAATGTTCACTATTAAAAACCAAAAAACATTTCATTCTTAAATAATCAAACATCGGAAACCAATCACCGGTAATTTTTTGGGTATTCATAGCACCGTTGCTCTAGAAGAGATGCCCACCACCCTCTAGCGAGAGGAAAAAACCACTGAAGAACACTGATGATAATGACTACGACTTAGGTTGTACACCCTTGACATGAATTTTAAATTTTACTGTCTTTAAATTTAAATCATAATTGTCATTTTTATGAATAAAGATATGAAGAAAAATTGGGTGCATTTTTTATATCATTTTTTCGAAAACTTATCGATACATCTATGTGAACCGTACGAAACATACCCAACACTAGTCACATTCGTTTGACAGCCGTCATTCTAATCAAGCTATATTGGATAGACTTTAGGTCAGGTACTAGGATATTTAAAAGTATGAAATTAGGTAGGTATGAATTACTAGATTTACTAGTAGTACTATTTAACACAATGAAATAACAATCATTACTTTGATATACATTATGCACAATAAAAATATTATGTATTTGAAAATTAATAATATAGAATGACGTTTACCGCTACAAAAGTATTTTAATCAACCCAACAGACTAGCTATAAATTAACAAAATATCAGTTTTATCGGAATTAATTAACTAATTGTCGAATCGAGTCACACGATATCGTTCGATGACTTTGCGATTGCAGTACGATGATACGAATATATTTACGTTGCGGCAATCACTAAAATTCGCTAAAATGACACTAATGACGTTAAAAAAGTGGCACGCTCGTCTTCATACAAATTTTTTGACAAGCTGCATCTATCCATATCTGTGGAGATAACACATGATTTTAAACGTCAAGTCAATTTGACAAGTCTCACAAATTCTCATCGTCCACGTATTTGCTAAAATAATTTGTTTCAAAGATTGATTTCAAACTTGTATAAACGTGAAAATAAAGTTGGTTTCATGGGCTTGTTAAATAATGTGTATGATATTATGAACACGTAAGTGATTATGGTGTAATTGTGTATGAAAGTGTTTGTTTACATCTCTGCTGGATTCTAAAAAATCAAGGTATACGAGTCTTGTTATTTTCCGGTGACATATACATTCTGTTCAATTCAATCGATTCCATCAGTACGATTACGACGTGTTATTAAATGCTTTAGACCCATGAAGAGTTTTTAGTTTTAGGGCAGAGTTGGAACAAAAACTTGAGTCAAATACCTACTTATATCTATCTCGCTCTCTGCGGCCCTACCTCTCTTTTTAGTGTGAACTGTAGTATTGCTATCTTCTGATTTAAATCTCCTTGTAAATTCTTCGAAATAGCCAATTCACTAACCAAATCAGAAGTTAAACAAATAAATAATTAATATTTGAAACTAAGATTACCTAGTTAAATAAAAAATCACAAAATTGTCGGCCATTTAGGCTTAATGTGTTGGCGAATCAGGGAATTACAATCCCAATTCCTGGGTAATCGGTACCATGTGGCAACATCGGCCCAATCCGGCCCATCATGGCGGTTGTTTACTATTTTGTTTATTAAGCAGTTAATTTCGTTTGTGTTAGGATTATATTATCTTTGGAAGTGTATTAAATATTAAAAAGTTAACTGTTTCCGGTAGAACGCTCTTCCCTCTTCCGGCTATGTACGAACAAGATGTGACTGTGTAAGAACCCGAATAATAAATGCTTATCTCGCTAACTATCGGTCTTTTCATTAAAGAAACACAAGTTCTGATAATCGGTACCATGTGGCAACATCGGCCCAATCCGGCCCATCATGGCGGTTGTTTACTATTTTGTTTATTAAGCAGTTAATTTCGTTTCCAATGTCGGAAATCACGAAATAAACACTTACGTGTGGAATCTTATGTCACTTCCAGGACACCACGTACTACCGCAACCACGCACTACAAAATTTTGCACCAATTCTTGTGATAAAACAATGATTATTTCCTGTAAGTAATCTCAAACGAAATTAACTGCATATTAAACAAAATAGTAAACAACCGCCATGATGGGCCGGATTGGGCCGATGTTGCCACATGGTACCGATTCCCCAGGAATGGGGATTGTAATTCCCTGATTCGCCAACACATTAAGCCTAAATGGCCGACAATTTTGTGATTTTTTATTTAACTAGGTAATCTTAGTTTCAAATATTAATTATTTATTTGTTTAACTTCTGATTTGATTAGTGAATTGGCTATTTCGAAGAATTTACAAGGAGATTTAAATAAGAAGATAGCAATACTACAGTTCACACTAAAAAGAGAGGTAGGGCCACAGAGAGCGAGATAGATATAAGTAGGTATTTGACTCAAGTTTTTGTTCCAAGTATTAAGCATCTTATAATATAAAGTTAATCTGCATTTGTGTTAAGTTTTACTCCAAATCGTCAGTCCCTAGAGCGTCAGGCCCTAGCTTTAAACGGCACTTGGGACTAAATTACTAGTTAGGGAATGATGTTTTTTATATAGTGATAATAACAAAACAACTACATTATGTGTATTAACTTATCTATAAATGTTAAGGTTAAAAGTTTTATACTTTATTAGAAGTCATATAGGAGTAATGTAGTATGAAAAAATTGAAAATTTTAATTTCTCCTAAAATAAAGCATAAAGTGACTGGCCCTTTTAGACATAACATAATTAATTAATAAACAATAATTTACACTAATAAAGTATTCAAAAGCATCTTAAAAAAGTTACGGACAAAATGACGTCGAAAATATACAGATTTTTATGGAATGACCCATATAAGTAGGTATTTGACTCAAGTTTTTGTTCCAAGTTTGCTCTCCATTTTTATCTTTAGCTTCATGGTTACGTCAACGTCAGTCAATCGAGAGCGTTTGGCCGAAAATAGCGCTTGTTAGAAATTGTAAGCAAAATGGCAATCGCTACGGTATTAACCGCTGAAAACTTTGGCATGCTTTCGGTAAGGACACTTTTATTGACTTCAAAAGTGACATTTTCCTATATAAATTTTTTAGCAAGTGGTAGCACTTACCGCTATAAATGATCATGATCGCCATTTTTCTTATTAGCGCTTACAAGCGCTATTTTCGGCCAAACGTCCCCCACTGTTGTCAGAAGAAAAAGTAAACAAATATTACTTTTCTCTATGAAACAAATTGATTGTTTGTTGAGGAAAAGTGAATATTGAATTTAATTTCTTTCGGATCAACAGCTATGGCTCATGTTTTAGTATTAGATTCGACTAGCGAAGATACATTTTTCTGTGGTTCATGTAAAGTTGTGTTCAATTCGTTGACACTATTTCTAGCCCATAAGAATAACCAATGTAAAAAACAGTCTCATGATAATGCTGAAGAGCCCACCAAAAGCATATCTGAATACCAGCCGCTTAGTGCTTGTTCTGAACAAATTCTTACACAAATTGAACTCAATGAAAACCTAAGTCCCAAAATAAATAAAGATAAATGTAAGAAGGAAAATACAGTAGATTTAGACAGTCATCCAAAAATGCATGAGAAACCTCATCAGTGTGTTATTTGTGGTCGATGTTTTATACAGAATTCCCACTTACAAAGTCATGTTCTGACTCACAAAGTTTGGCCGGATGGTATAAGTGAAACAACAGCTAAGACAACTGGTGAGGACCTATTAAGTTATTCATGTATGTATTGTGATTCAACCTTACCTACTTATAGCCAATACAGGATACACCTTAAGAAGCATATGTGTTTAAAAAAATATAAGTGTATACAAAATCAATGCAACTGTTTTTATGATACAGTTGAATCTTTAATGCATCATGTATCTAGTGCTCACAAAACAGTAACATACAGGTGTCATAAATGTAATAATGCATTTGATTCATTGGAAGAGATTGCTTTCCACTATGAAAGTAATGACTATAAGTGTAACAATCCACCAAGTCCAACTGAATTATTTAAGTGTTCCCAGTGTGATGCAATGTTTACAAAAGCAGAGAAACTTTCGTTACACATGCTCACAGAGAACCATAATAAGGTCTGTATTCATTGCAACAAGACATTTTCAAGTGATAAAAGATTACGTCTACACCTTCAGGTGCACAGAAAATTAAAACCATTTAAATGTACTATTTGTAGTCAAAGTTTTCGCATGAAAAAGTATTTAACAACACATTTACTAAAACATGGAGAGAAAAATTATGAATGCAAAGTCTGTAAAGGTCTTTTTAAGAGAAAAGATTCCTTAAATAGACATATGAACACACATCAACAACGAAAAATGTACAAATGCCCCTTTACAGATACATTCAATTGCAAAAAGGAGTTTAGCAGAAGTGACAAACTTAAATCGCATATAAAATTTCATACAAACAAAATGACAGGTCACAACAACCAAAAGGCACAATGTGCTGCTGATAGTGTAGAGATTTGTATAGTTCCATTAGACAATAAGAACAAAGAATAATTGAAGATTTATCCTAGAGATCCATTATAATTTTACAGAGTAGAATAAAAGAAAGAAATATTTATTACGATGAATATCACAAAAGGACAAAAAGGGAAATTTGAAGAAAAAAAAGACAGAAATAGCACATAAAACATTATAAAGAAAGAAAATAATTAACTGAGCTGTGCCACCCTGTCACAATAGTGATGCCCATTGCAATGGAACCCCACTCAGCTGTGACCCACGGTGAGGAAGGTCACGATGCTGGTTTTCAGTTTGCCCCATGCTGAGTCATGGACTCTTATCTAAACTACATAAAATATACATACATAAGTAATAATAATGCACAACAAATAAATGTTGAATATACAGTAAATAAAAGAAGCTCTTATTAAATAATAATAATAATTTGAACAAAGCTTTGTGTATGTGTACATAATAATAATAAACTTGTAATGTAAATAAGTGTTTGTATATCTATTATCTGAGTACTTACTTAGTAATGATTAAGGATATTTTTCCCATCTTCAAATTATGAATAACTCAATACCGACGAAGCACCTGTGTGGTTTCATCCTTCAACGTAAGTGGTAATCCAATTAAGCAGACATTGATCAGTATATTTTGTACTGAAACAAGGTAGCAGTTGCTCTAAAAGAATAGTTCTTTTTTTTTAAGTGAAAATGAACTACAGTAGTTTGCTATGTTTAATTTATTTGCTGAAGTGTGCATGGATTGTAAATGTAAGTTTCATAATTTAAAACTATAAAAAGAACCCTGTAAAAGCAGTACAATGCCGTTGATTAGCACTTACTTATATTTTTCTAAATATAAATGTTAATTTGTATTCCAGGCACGCCAATTCAGAGTTACAGATCAAGTCTATTTAGATATACAAGATGAAGATAAACCACTGGGTAGAGTTGTAATAGGCTTATTTGGTGACTTGGCACCTAAAGCTGTTAAAAACTTCAAAGTTCTTGCCACTAAAGGCATTAAAGGAAAATCTTACAAGGGAACATCTTTTAATCGAATAATCAAAAGGTTTATGGTGCAAGGTTTGTTAGATACAATCTAATCTGATCGTTAAAGTACGGTGTCAAGGTATTCGTTTTAATATTTATCATTATCACGGCAGGTGGCGATGTTGTATCGGATGATGGCAGAGGTTCAATAAGTATTTACGGAGAAACATTCCCGGATGAGAATTTAGACACTGAACACAGCATCGCAGGGTTTGTGTCTATGGCGAATAAAGGTGACTTCAGTGTAAATATTTTAAATTATTTTCAATCATTCAACAATTCAAAATAATTAAAGCTAATGTTATTGTTTAGGTAAAGATACAAATGGCTGCCAATTTATCATAACAACTACTGGAACACCTTGGTTGGACAATTTGCATACTGTAATAGGAAAGGTACAAGGGATTTTAAAGCCTTTATTGTTCCTTGGTTTTGATAAACTAGGTATGTAGAACTAAAACTTTTGTTTTTCCAGGTGGTGGAAGGTCAGAATGTGGTCCATTTACTGGAGCATACTCCTACGGATGTGGATGATCGGCCAACGCGTCATGTGTATATTGCTGACTGTGGTATCGTCCCCACTCTCGAACCTTACTATATCTCTGATGATCCATATGAGTGAGTATAGTCTCATACACCATTATATTATGAACTAATGAACTATAATAGAATATTTACGGTCAACTGCACAGGCAACTTTGATTTGTAAACAATACCAGTAATTATAATATTAATTCATTCAACATTTAAATAACCTTTTTCTATATTTTGTAGTTTACTTAATAAAACTGTTATCTACAGAATCATAGGCTGAACTGCAAGTCTTTTGAATATTATTCACTCATTATAAGAATTTATGCATTGGCTTTAAATGGCAATGCCAGATTTTGTATGGAAGGTGGCGTCTTTTTTTTTTCACGCGGCCATCGACCAAACTTGGTTTTTTGATTACAAAATAGTGTAATAAACCAAACTTACTATGACATGTATACCTCTAAACTCAGTCTGAACTGAGTTACGAGCATTAGAAGTTTGATGATTTTCATACTAGATTTGCTTTTTGCGCGCAAGTTTTGTAAGAAATTGCAACAAAATATTGCGCTATTTTTTTATTGCGCTGATACTGCTCCATACTGATGTCTGGAGCCTATGATGGATGGTATTGTTTGTTTACACATACAATGTCACTATTTTGTTGCAATTTCTTACAAAACTTGCGTGCAAAAAGCAAATCTATAGTCTATCCAANTCTCTTCTAGAGCAACGTTGTTATGAATACCCAAAAACTTACCGGTGATTGATTTCCGATGTTTGATTATTTAAGAATGAAATGTTTTTCGGTTTTTAATAGTGAACATTTAGAAAAACGTATAACTTAAATATGTTAAAAAATTAGTTAGAAAAAAAATTTTTTAAATATGTTAAAAAAATAGTTTTGATTTAAAATGACTTTAAAACTAAAATTTTAAAATTACTAATGATAAAACCTATTTACAAAATATAAATACTTCACCCCCAGCGCCGCAATCAGGAATGGTGCCCAAAAGGCTGGCAGCATTGCCACGTTGAATGGCCAGGCTAATTCTCTGGCCGAAATAGCTGCCAGCCTTTTGATCACCGGTCACCTCGGTGAGCCTCTTTGCCAGTTCCTTATAAAAGGAACGAGCGCTTGGACCCCGTGGTTTTAATTTAATATGACATTTGTCGATATGTCCCAACACTAACATTTTTGTAACTCGAGATAACCTTGTAGAGACGTCGTTAATACTCTAGCTTAGAGGTGGGCGCCACGCCGGCGCGCCGCCGCCGCCGCGAAATTTTTCACGCCGCCGCCGCCGACGATCGGCTGTCGGCGCGCCGACTCCTATACTGCACTGACTATTTGTTTTTTTTACAAATGTTTGTACTGTGCGGGAATCGAATCCGCGAACTCCGGCATATATTACGAACGTTACAAACCACTACACCAAACGGCCGACACACTGAGTGAATACCTCGCAAGTTCCTTAACTTTGGAAAATTATCCAGAAGGCTGGAAAGCCTGTAGGAAAGGACGTTTATCCCCTTGCTTAAGTATGACCCATGTAATATAATATACTCGACTCTTAATTTTGGCAGAAACCATACCAACCATAACAAATAGGTACACCGAGTGTATTGCTGTACAATAAGATAATGTGTGGAAAAGAAAAAATACTGTATGACTGCTTTCGTTGGGGCTTTGACCGGGTTTCGTTTATAGGACTACTCTATTAAATAAAAAAAACACCTTCCACACAACTACTACCTGCTGATGGATAGACAGACAGTTTTAAGTCAATCTGTGACAAGATCTCTTTTTAGCTGCAGAGCTTGAGTATCCTAGTACTCCGTAATTGGTCCGGTCCTCCACAACATATTTACTAGTAAAGTAGCCCAATCACCAGAAACAACTGTGACCTTCCTCAGATGTAACTGTGATCTTAAAGCCACTAGACTAAACTGTTGCACACTCAGCTAGATGCGACTAAGGCGGTTATCACACTGCGCCGCGCTCCGACGCGGAGCGCGGTGCGACAGATTTAATAATTGTATGCAAGTACCTCAGTTTGTATGGAAAACACGCGCGGCACTTCACACTGACAACGCGTCCGGGCGCGTGATTTTTTAAATTAAATCACGCGCTCCGCGGCGGAGCGCGGCGCAGTGTGATAACCGCCTAATGCTTGGCTGACCAAGTGGCGCATAAAAGCAAACTCCGAAGTTTCACCATATCACATTTAGGACATGAAACTTATCCTCCGGCCAATCTAAACCTCAGCACATTGCCGCAATCCTGCGTTAAAGACCTGGACCGTATGATGACATGGAAAAACCATAATTGTTAAAACGATAAAACCGATCCGGACATAATATTATGGCATCTAATTGTGGTCGAAAACCAGCTAATCCAACGTTAACGATGTGCCTCCAAAGAGCTCCAAAATATCTGCTTACTATTACTTTCATCGGTGCATTGGTAGTATTGGTACACTTACATTTAAGAAATCCACGAGAACCTGAAAATAGGCATAGTAAAAAGTTTACTCAAACCCGCTATCCAAATATCAAAGTATGATCAAGAGATACATAATAATAGTTTATGAGCATTGTCTGGTGGCCTAGAATTAGGCTACAGACATGCAGAACGGTACTCGGAAAATTGCAAAGAACTGAATGCCTATCAATAACAAGTGCGTTTAGTACTACGCCAACTAAGCATTGGAAATTATTCTGGGACTGCCTCCACTGTACTTGGCGCTAGACGTAGACGCAAGGAAGGCGGCGGTCACTGATTGAAGGGGGCGGGACTCTGGAGTACATCCAAACCTTGCACCAAACACACAAGGATTGGGAGCGATCCTCAATTAGATGTAATAATGGACATGGGATGTGATACAATGCAGTCTAGCAAAGATTTTAAAGTGTCTAGATACCAACAAGTGAAATCTGGAAAAGGGAACCATAAGATTTTGGTCAGTATACAGTAAGTATACCAGGTATACTGATGGCTCCAAGATGGACTAAGTATAGGGAGCGGGCGTCTACACCAAACGATCCGAGCACAGTAAAAGGTTAGGGGGGTTTGCAACGGAATTTCAAGCTGAAACCTATGTTATAACCATGTGTGCACTAAGGAATATAGAACATGTGCATAAAAAGCGCGACATTTATATCCTACGTGACAGTCAGGCAGCACTCAAAGCCATTGCCTTAGTGAGGGTTGGATCTAGACTTGTTCTGAGGCAATCTTGGCACTAAAATCACTAAATAAACTTGGGAGGCATAACAGGGTGACCCTAATGTGGGTACCTGGACATACAGAAATCGAAGGCAATGAGAGAGCTCACAGTCTAGCGAGACAAGGCTCAGAGGTGATACCTATTGATCCAGAGCCGATAGTGGCCTTATCTATTAGCGCCGCACACATGACCATGAGGCAATATGTAACTAGGAGGCATAGAGCTGAATGAGTAAACCCAACGGTATGAGCCATTCTAAATTATTCTTAAAGGGAAACATGTAATCATGAGAAAATGTAATCATATTCAATAGAAACAGAAGGCAAGCCCATGTGATCACGGGTGCGTTAACAGGACACTACACTACGAACCATAATATGCTCCACAAGATGGGCTTTACGACAGCCGTCGAGCATGTGGAGAACATGTAAAGTCCATAAAATACCTACTGTGCGTAAGCGACGCGCTAGCGAGAACTAGGATGGGTCTCCTGGGGTCGGCATATCCGGCACCAGAAGACTATAGGTCCCTCTCACCCAAGCACTTGATTCGCTTTATGGATAGGATTTTTTCGGATGAGAGGGGGAATAAAGGTATGGGCGAACACAAAAGATCCCAATGGGTCGACGTGCACTGCGTTCATGCGCGGCCCTGAACAAGATAAGATAAATGATCAAAAGAGCTGATATTATGCTAATTTACTAGGAAACGGAGCAGTGGCTGTACCTCGTTAAACCACAACCAATTTCAAATCACCTGTTTATAGTGTTGACGACAGACTCTAAACAAACCGATTTTTAAAAAGAAATAATGAGTCAAGGTCAAAGGTCAAGGTCACGCCGCCGACGCCGCCGCCGCCGAAGTCAAAAAGTCGGCGCGCCGCCGCCGGCTAATTCTATATCGGCGCCCACCTCTACTCTAGCTTGATTTTTATAATTTCGAATTACTACTTATTGGTGTAATTTAACGCTGCATTTACACGAAATTATCATTTTTATTGGAAGCACTGTCGTCGAAAATATTGTTTGTAGGTTAGACGTGAATTATTTCTTGTCCGCCAATATTTAGCTCTCATTGATCGCTACTACACGCTTTTTCTACTACAAAGTTATGTCGTTACTTTTGATGACAGCTGTCATTCTAATCAAGCTATATTGGATAGACTATAGTATGAAAATCATCAAACTTCTAATGCTCGTAACTCAGTTCAGACTGAGTTTAGAGGTATACATGTCATAGTAAGTTTGGTTTATTACACTATTTTGTAATCAAAAAACAAGGTTTGGTCGATGGCCGCGCGAAAAAAAAAAAAAAAAAGACGCCAATTTCCGGCATTGTCACCCCATGGATAGAGACTCCAACACGTAATGCAACCGTCATTTTTGCCACTGTATGCGCCGGATTACCCTCAATGAGTTATCCTCCGAGTATTAGAGGTTTGAAAAATGGAAGGAATATGTATTTTATTTGGCCATCTCGTGAACTGTGAAATGCTGAGNTTTGCTATATTTCTTTTACAGTCTTTGGGCCTGGTTAAGAGCATCGGCAGTGCCGCTAACGATGTCGTTCTCTATTCTGGGATTCTTCCACTGGATGATGCGGAAAATGGAAATTTAAATAGGTACCTATTTTACAATCGTTTTTTAACGTTCGCCTATGTTATTCTATTCAGCAAGATTACATAGGTACATAATATCTGTATCTTAAAATTAAAATGCGATAGTTATAATTATTATTATTGTGTTTAATATTATAGTAGGTAAATTTTATAAAAATACATTTTATAAAGCATATTCTGACTTATGTAATATGTATTTAATGAATCTAATTAAAGTATCTGTACTACTATCACATCTCATGTTTCATTCGTATCAAGTAGGTATTGCCAGTTTCAGAAATCAGAATTATTTTTAATTTTTACCTACTCATTAATAATGCAATAATATTTCTATTGTTTCAATAAAAAAGCACCAATAAAAGTTATGATTTATTTATTTATTTTCAAGTTTAATTAGGTATTTAAATTATATAATATTGTTATCTAATTCTTTAAGTTATATTTATTTACACTTAAATATTATATTATAGATGTTAGATCACATATTATTAAGTTATAATTGAAGTTCATTCTTATAGTAAATTATTATCATTTATTTTTCCGGAACTACTAAACATAAGTTTTTCGTCGTCGTTTCTTATAAATCGTTTCTTATAAGATGTTTGATTATAAATCTTTTCACATTTAATACCCAATTAGTGGTGAGCATTTTGACTAGCGCAATTAATTTCGGTTATATTTAACTATGTAGACATTTATATGTGTAATCATTTTGCTATTATTTTTCATTTTAAATCCAAAACCACAAATCTTGTCTATAGTATTTTTTTAATGAACTCGTAGTACATTCTAACTACTGACGCGAAAGTGCTGCCACCATCATATTTTATTACGGTAAGCAGCAGGGTGGCAGGCATGGCACAAAATTCTTGATACCTTCCAAAAAAAGTTCCATGATTTTGGGTGGCTATTCATTAACCAAAGTGGCCTAATCGATTGCCACCTTCAGGTGTGAAAATTAGGGGTCTTAGGACGGAATGAGGGACCACAATTAGTGACCTTATACTGTTTTACCTACCTATTGGATCAAATATGTAATAGGTATACCGTACAACACTAACAGACGACGCACGAGGTGAATGAGAGAAATCTACCCACTCTTCCCCTCAGGAGCCAAACAATCTCATAGGGACCACCCAATCACCCAATGTATCTGAAACCAAAAAGTTTGGGGTACTGCTACAGGCTATCGTAGTGCCACAATCGCCAAGGCTAATGCTAGGGCTGCCACCGAGAGTTGTAGGTCAGCGGCGGCGCCGGGGGCGGGGCGCGGGGTGCGGGAGGCGGGCGCGGGCGCGGGCCCCAGCTGCGCGCCGGCCGAGCCGCACGCGCGCGCGCACGACTCCCACTCGCGGCACACGTCGCACGCGCTGCTCGCCGGCGCTTGGTAGAACACGCGTGCGCGGTGACCTGTAGGACGTGGGAATGACAAATTATTATATTTTACACATTACGTCACAAAAGGATTGCTTGAGGAGTGCTTCTGGCACTGGTCTCGGCTCTAAGGTAGAAGGTAAAGGTAGAGCAGTGGTATCTCTAGTTGGCTAATAGCCTATAACTTGCGGGGCTAACTACTGTATGCCATGTAAAAGTTAAACATTGCGCCATGATGAAGAATGGTGGAATATATCCTCGTGGAATTTATCTAGCCCGATCAAGGTCTTGTGCTGGCAAATATAATTGTTATTCACAAAGTTATTTGTCCAGTAAGATGAGTATCAAAAGACCACCTACTTGGTGTCTGAAAGATAGGTAAGTGAATTTCAAAATAGGAACCCTTCATGGTTTCAGATAAATATAATACTCACTAGAATCATAAAGGTCCTGCAACGTGGCCCAGGCCGGTCGCTGTCTGGCTACAGGCAAAGCCCGAGGTGCCGCGAGTGTGGCGCACTGTTCTGCGCGTCGAGGCCTCACCCATGCTAGCACGCGAGACCCACCAGCTTGGACGCGAGCTGATACTACCATTCTTGCAGCCTGTACAGATTGCGAGTAGTGTCATCAACAGTATATCTAATCTACTTAAACAAAGTACTTAATGTGACGAAAATGGGAATACGCACCGTCAATTCAGTGATCGTGTTAATGTCAGCCAAGTAGCCAGTCGGTAGCTGAACCGTGAGCAAAGTCAAACCGCTTTCCGTCTCATTACCTTGTGGCACGTACCTGAAAGATTGTCAATAAGATTTAAAGAATCTTAAGGGCTGATTTTTCAATCGTCAGATATCTTTTATCTGAAGAATAAACTTGTCATTTTGACATATTTCCCATACTGAAACTGTCAATGTGTCAACTTATTCTTCAGTTAAAAGTTATCTGACGATTGAAAAATCAGCCTTAAATCATCTGTAAAGCTAAGAAGTTAAAGAAAATAAAGTTTTTTACCCGAGGCAAATAGACAGCTGCATGCGATATTTTGTGGAGACCATATCGACCCTGGGGTCCAGAGTGTACCGCGGCCAAGCACCTGTGACGTTGGTGTTGCCTTTAGCTGAAAGTCCGACAAGGGCTATGCCTCGCCCTTCGGTGACTGCAGTGGCTGATCGGGCATCGAAGATCTATCCAGAGATGATACATTAATATGTGACATCCATACTGGATATAGTAATTAAACTTATGTATGAAATATCAGAATTATTATTGGGGTAAATTAAAAGAAAACTCACCGCTTGATCTTGAATAATAAGTGGATTGTTGTCTCCGATTTGGAACAGTTTCGGCTCTTGAGATCCAGTTACATTGACCGATATTCTCAATTTTGTTGTGGTCTTTATCAGTTCAGCGTAATGTGCAATGGCATCTAGCTGAAAATAGTAATGTTGTTTGTGTAGATTGTGTGTACCTACCTATTTATGACTAGTTTAGGTTATTCAATCGTTTTCTAACTGAGCAAATCCGTGGATAAAAGCTAGTCTTAAACAAAATAGTTACAATTAGTACTTCTAGCTAAGTTTTTGTCCTTACCACATCGGGATCAGGGTCGTTTGGTTTGTAGGCTTGTAGGAGGAACCTGGCAACAGGCTCTGCTTTGTCTTCCAGACGCGAAGCCAGCATTGTTCGTAGGCCCCACGCGGCTGTGCTCGCTTCTAGGCTGTTTGATTTCAGCCAAGGGTTGCGCCATTCGGAGCCGGACAACTTGCGTGACCAGAATAATGTTGAACCTATGTGTAAAATAAATCACATTTTAAATACATCTCGTGTTCTAGGAACGGTTTTATTCTGATTGAAATTATTTATTTTTTTCAAAAGAAGCTGTTGCTTGTTTACTCTACGTACCAGTGTTGTTGACGTATTTGTCCATGTATTGTAGAGCTACCGATGCTTCAGGGTGCTTAGCAACGGCTAACGCGTTGCCTACGACAGCCAGGGCATATGCATCCAGGAATGGTGTCAGTCCTTTGGCCAAATAATCAACGGCCTTGTTCAAGGCGTTTTTGTAGTGGATGTCCTTGCCCTAAACAGAAAAAATCTAGGTAAATAATACACACAAACTCGTCGTAGATTTCCTAATATGGATTCACAGCCAATATGGACTCATACTCCGGTTTTCCCATTATGGGTTTAATGCAGAAAAAACAGACTTATTTTCCTTTCCCATGGATTTTCAACTCACCTTGGCTTGTGAAAGAGCCAGTAAAACGTGTGCTGTTAAAGGCAATGGGGCCTGTGCTCTAGGGTCGGTCTTCAGTGTAGGTGGTTCCCAACTGCCGTCGTCTTTCTGCATACGAGCGAGCCATTCTGAAGCCGCCGTGACAGCCAATGGCGTCACTTCCACGTATCGGGCGCAGCGGGACAACCATCGGGTTGATATTGCTGTCATCCTGGTTTGAAACGAGAGGGACATTGAAATCTTTCAAACCATAATCTAGTCTAGCCTTAAATTGATTAGAAAAGGATAACTATTTTATAATACCTAGTTATAGTGTGTGATTTATTGAAGAAGATTGTGACTTATTATCTTACCAAACATCGCCTTTGGCATCTCGATCAGTCTCTGGTGCGAAGGACCCATCAGAACGTCTATATGCCATGAGTCGTTGGAATCCGAGAGACGCCAAGTCGCGTGCTGCTTTGTTCCAAGCCTCTTTCTCTTGGTTGGTGGTCTATACGTAAGAAAAAATCTTTATTGATTACAAATTTTTAGCTACATCATTGTCTATTAATTCAGTCAAGGTCACTCAGTGGTAGTTGAAAGTTTTGACCGGATTACTTAGATAGTTCCTAGATGTTTTTCTCCGCTATATTAAAGGGACTGGCAAGGGCTATACTTTCAGTAAAGTAATTGAAACAAACCTGTAAGTAGTCCAATAACACACACGCTACGGCAAGAGGCCTCACTGCATGCGGTGGGTCGCCGGCAGCGGGAGGCGACTGCCACAGCGCTTGCAACGCAGATGACAGCAAGTCTCCAGTTGCCATCAGTCGAGCCGGACCTAAGCGAGTTCCTGCGATGGGTTCTAAAGTCATGTTGGCTCTGGCCACGCCACTCCTTGCATTCAGCAGATTCCATACCCAGACGTCTTCTTGATAACCATCCTGGGACATTGAAATGTTGATTAATTGTAGAAGAGTACTAAAAAGACAAGTTCGACTCATTCCTGAAGCCCCTCAAGAAAATACTCACAGTAACTTCAATGGTCTTCGAGAATGATGCAGAGACTCCAGGTGCTTTAGCGTCTATGAGGACTTCGACAGATCCAGTCTGCACAACAGTCACCAGGAACGCTGAGCTTGCGGAGCCTTCTGCCGGCACGGTTACGTGCAGACGGCCGAACGGTTCGATTTCTGTAAAGTTTAGTTACAATTATTAAGGTTCTTATAAGTTAAATATGGTCAAAATATTATGATACACATACTTTTCTTCGAGTTTATATCGTTGTCGAGTGGTTCGAATTCGAATTTCTGTCCCGTGTTATACATTGTAACTTCCACTGTGATATCAGCAGTGAGTGTGCTCTTCAGTACTACTACAGCTGCTACAGATTCTCCTCTTTGCATTGTGTTGGGAAGTTCCACGTTGATTGACAATGGAACCGAGGTGGCAATATCCTGGGGTGTAGCTAGACCGAGGCCCATCTTAGAATCGACTGCAAATGCTCCCAATTTCAACTTTACTGGTACATGTGGTGGTGGAGTCCAACGTTCTGCTGAACCTCGGCCAATGTTACTGTGAACAATTTAAATAATACTAGCATTGTGCTTTTTTTCGAAACGTTAAAATGAAATTAATTACTTACTGTATTAATTACTTACTCAAGAGAGAAATTGGAGAAGGCCCATGTGGGTAACGGCGAGACAGTCAAGAAGTATCGGGGCGAAGGTGGCGGGGGCAGGCGGCTGAACGCGTACGGCCCGGCCAGAGGAGGCCTGGTGCCGGTTTCTGGCTCTTCATGTTTGGGATCCACTAAAATGCAGAAGATATTTTTATGAGAATTAATATTTTGTCACCGTAGAATGTGATGGACATATTCGAAAGAAAGTAATTACCTCCTACTCCATTTTGAACAATCACTCCATCAGTCAGGATAACAAATCCGACTTTCTGAAATAGAAACCATTAGTATAAGAAGCTATCATAACCCCGAAGAAAATAATAAACTATTTGGTTGAGCACAGATACCTTGAAAACATCTAGAGAAGTATAACCAGCAATATCCAAACCTAAACCTGGGAGGTGTTCCTCATTCTTGAAAACAGAATGCTTCAAACCGCTAAAGCTCTCTACTTCGCGTTGGATCTGAAATGAAAAGCTTTTATAAAATCTCTATAATCTCAGAAAATTGCGAGTCCATCTTTCCTTGCTGATAAGTTGGAGAATACCCTTTTATAGCGCGGCCATAAGCGAACCATTAGAGAATATTTTTTGTCGAAAGACTAACCGTGTGCATATCAAGTCCGCTTCCAAGTCCATTAGCGGCCGAGAGTCCCGCCGCGACGGCGTTCACGTCAGCACCAAGGACCACGGCGCGGGCGCCCGCTTCTCCCGTCACTTGCAGCTCGGTCAGTGTGTTTGGCTGGTAGTTGGAAGCTGACACGGACTTTAGAGATACCTGTGAGGAAATAATGCATAGGTAAACACAGAGTTTTTGTTAAGTGTTAACATGTTTCTCTGGAACACATTCAAAATATGCAACAAGAAAGTTGTTGGCTCTATCAGTCACTTATTACGACATCTTCTTAAGTCACGGATTTTATCGTTAGACTTTTCTAGGAAAATGATACAACATTTTAGTATAATGTTGTTAAGAAAAAAATGGTTACTAAAACTTTACCAAAAAACCTTACTAAAAAGCGACAATGTGTCTGACTGGTCGAATCGAGATCCGAGGAACCCGGCTATTGGAAAATAGCATCCATTCATCCATTGCAACTACATAAGTAATTATGCAGTGTTAAGCTTGACATGTCATCTGCACAAGCAGTTTACACTCTAACTCACGTGATGGTGCAAGAGCTGCTGCTGCGGCGCGTAGAGCGCGGCGGCCAGCATGGTGTTGGTGGAGTCGAGGCGCGGGTACCACGCCAGTACTACGCAGCCAGGGGTCATGGCACGAGACACCTCTACAGAGATATCCACGCTTCGCCGAGCTGGGTTCAACTGTAGTTCAGAAAAACAGTTTGAAGATATCATTCGATCCATGAAGGTAACATAATAAAAACAATTTTATTAAATCAATAAATACCTCTAATGTTTTGGCGACGAGGATATCACCGCGTCCTATGACGACATAGTGCACCAAGTCCATGGGCTCCGTGGCCGTGATCCTGGCTCTCATCTCGTCACCGACTGATGTTCCACGAGTCAGGAGTTCTACCGTCAGGAATTGGCCGCTGGAGTCGCTGTTCCTTTGTACGTTTACAACGCGCTCTACCACGTCTTTGTACTTAATCTGAAATTTTAAATAACAATTTTACCATTTTGAAGAGCATAGAGCTGTGAGTGACATTATGTCGCATCTCTATTAACAACTGTGGGTCTAGACAAAGTGCAAATTATAATCGCAAACCAGTCGAAAAGTGGTCGAAAATCCCCTTTTTTGTATGGAGTTTTGACGGATTCGATTTTCGATTCGATCAAAAAGTGCGTTTTGTCTAAGGGGGCTGGGCATGTGATGTCAAAATTAGTAGCTGTTGAATGGTGATTTAATATCTCTTACCACTAAATTAAGTGTGGAGTTGATATGCGCCATGTCTGGCACTAGGGTGTAAGTGACAAAGCCGTTCTTCAATTTGAGGGTAGTGACGTTGACAGGCGCTCCGTCATCCCATAGCCTTTCTACGGTTACATCTTCGTTCACGTCTAACATCTGCCCAGATGAATCTACTACTTCGATCTGAAAACAGGAAAATGTAAGTTAAATCATTAGGCTTTCTTTTGCATACAAGATTAATCAACCGTAGGCCGTTCATAGCAAAACACTAAAGGCAATAGTGTGCTTATTGCTGCAATACAGTAATATGGCTATGGTTAAGTACAGGAAAGTGCTATAAAAGTCTTGTGAAAAAGTGACTCAGTGACCTCAGTGACTAATCACCAACCTGAACATTGTAAGGCAGCGTCGGCTTCACATAGTCCGGGGCAGTCACTTTCAGCCGGTACGGGGTTCTCATCAGCAATATCCGCGATGACACATTCTGTCGGATCAGCGTGTCGTATTCCTCCAACACGGCCTCGACGACCAGCGGCCTTGCCGCATCCACGGCGAGGTCTAGGTCGGTTTTTAGGTCGTATACTATTTCAGCGTTCCCGTTGAAAGCTAGCACTTTGCGAGAAGGAGGCGAGAAAACGGGCTGTAGGAGCTGGGAGAAGAATACAGCGTATGCTGATATTGTCAGCTCTCCGTTTACTGGCAAGCCGTTGAAGTGCCTGTGCGGAATAAGTTATTTTATTATAACAGCAGTTAGGTACTTTCATAATTAAGTAAATATGTTTTTCAGTCAGTTACATTTTTTAGTTTATTTTACTCCTTACTCATCGTTAGGCTTTTTTTTTTGGTATTACCTATGTAAGTAGTTACTAACTAATCAAATGTTACTTAGTTATGGACTGCATGTAATACCTACACGCGTTACGTGTAGCTAATATAGAAAATCTATTGAGTTACAGAAAAAGAAAAATGAAAATAGATTAAATCTAATTAGGTTTTCTGTGTAAGGCAAGAGATGAAATAATGTAGGTAATTGTTGTTTCAAGAACGCGCGTGGCGTGGGCACCTAATCTCCTGATTCTCTTTATCGCCACTTCCAATTTCTTTTGATACTAAATGTTTTGGACGTGTAGCTTTAATCGACGTAATAAGGTTAGACAGTTTTCTAATAACAGTAGGTTTGTTCAATTGGTATAAACATCTTGCTTAGAAATAAAACAATCAATTAAATAAATGAAACATAATTACTTGGCTGTAACGTTGACGGTGAAGCGGCCTTCGGTGAAGAGAACCTCTTTTGGCAATTGGATGTCCATTTGGAATTTGGGCATCACATAATCGGCCACTAGGATTTGCCTCGAGTAAGTCTGCCCCCGGGCTTCTACCTGTTGTGTAAAATTTTATTACGTTAGAAGAATGTATCGAAATAAGCCCGTGACTGAAAAAGTAACTGTAAATTACGTGTGTTAATAAGCAGTTCTAAAATCATAATTCGTGATGCGAGACCATGAAAAAATAAGATCGTATCAATAGCCACGTAATTTTGTTTTGTAATGATCGTGGATATTTGCGTTAATTGATTCCACTTTCAGCACGATTAGTGCATGAAGTTTTTCATAGGTATAGGTGTACCAGAATCTCATGGCAAATGGGGAAAATAAACTTTGTTGAGTGCAATACTGGGGAAATTGGATTAAACGATCTTGATACTGTTTAATTTTTTATTTATGACTTTAATATTAATGAACATGAAGTACGAATGCCTACCTATACATTTTAGATTGTGTATGAAGAATGTGGTTATACATCGGGTTTTTAACATTTATCATGTCTTGAAAAATAAGTAAACCGTATATTACTGTAAATAATTTTATTATGTATCATACTTATAACTTATCACTTCATTCAGAACTAGACGTTTTCTAGGAACTCCACTTGCAATTCTTGATTCTTCTTCAATAGATAATCAAGTTAAAGAGGTATTTATACAGAGTGGAATTTTGTAATGCCACCTGGAGGGAAAGTACTCTTAATACTGTAGATAGAAAAAATTGCTGAAAGAAAATTCCTTTATTTTCGAAAAAAAAGAGAGCTACACTAAAAGATTTTCGAATTTTTTTCGAAAATTCACTACTTGAATTATGCCTTATTTTACAATACACTTTGAAAACAATATGATTTGCTTGAGGTTTTTCGACTTTTTCACAAAAATAACAAATAGGCATGAAGAGATTACAACATTTCTGCAGCGGCTGACAGATCTCTTGATTTACTTTGACAGGTGACAATAAAGCCATAGACAATTGCCATATGAAAAACACACTTTTCCAATATTTTTATTTGCCATGAGATTCTGGTACACCTATAAGTACCCGAATTAATAAAAAAATGTAGTAAATCTAACTGTGCCATCTGTTTTGTTGCACTTTAAGATTTTTCTATAAAACCGAAGAATTTCAGTATGTAGGAAAACTTCACTTTTGAAAAACTCACTCCTCCGTAATAAGTGATATGGTCCAAAACTACCGAGCCGGATATTGAATATGAATATCCTCCTAACAAATAAGCTCCGCAAAATCAACATGTTTTCGGCAGAATATAAAAACGTTACTAATTTTAAGCACCTTAATACTGGATACCCTACCTGTATAGTCCATTCTCCGAGCGCCGGCTCATCGGCCAGCATGAACTGGTCGGTGAAGATGCCTTTGTCCAGCGGCACGGCCAGCTTCTGCCAGACCGGCGATCCGCCCGCGTCTAGCACACTTACGTCTACTGTGTTCGAAATCGGCAATAGGTGTCTGTAAACATAAAATATGTGTCCATGGTTTTTAATAATTATTGGTTAAACTGCGTACTTAAAACCTTAATATGCACAAGTAAATATACCTACAAGAAATAAGGTGAAAAGATTGATCTGTTTACGAGAAATTTCCGACTTAAAGTTACCTAACTTAAATGAGTCGTTTCACTGCCTTTAATGAGTCTGATTGACTCATTCAATAGAAGCTGAAAAAAGCTAGCGCCTAAAGAAATATAAGATTATTTGCATAAATATTGAATGGAGGTAAAGCTTCGGTCTTAGTTAACCAGGGTTAAAAGAAGTTAAAGCATTTAGTGCTACCGCACTGCAGAGTCGGCACAACAATCTGATGCACGAGTTTCTTACAAAACCTGCCTACGCGATCTTACATGATAATCTGCGGAGTTATGAGAACGGCATCAAGTTATCTAACACGATCAGCTACAGACGATCAGCCAGCAGCAGGTTCGGCCGTTGACCCCGACCATACGTAATCTTACGCGGCTCGATGCGGTGATGGCGCAGAAAACGAAAGTGTCTTCGGCGCACAACCACAAGTCCACAACCATTGGTCCATGCCGTGTTAATGAATCTCTTCTGCGATTGTTAAAAAAACCCTGATATTCGACATTCAATCAAGTATTTAATGCGACGGGAGTATTAAATTTTAGAGGAAAATGTCAGTATTAAAATGCCTTTCCACTTGCATGATGTCACTGAAACTTGTTTTCTTAAAAGGCAAATGTCTTATAAGGAAATGTTGATAATGTGATAGGCTGTCGACTGAATGGCGTTGGTCAGATATGTCTTAGTGGATTGGTTCGAGAGCAAAGACTTCGACTCTCTAGGTACTTAAAATTTTGGATGTTGAAACACATGCTGTGTCGGGAATGTTATTAAGGATAGGTAAGAAGGACTAAGTATACTCATACTTAGTCCTTAGTATGAGTATACTCATACTTAGTATACTCATACTTAGTCCTTACCTATCATCATAAGTCGCTGCACAAAAAGTTGTCTCCAAAGTTTATTAGCCCTAGGTATGGGCACAGATAATATAATACTGTATGGGACTATGGGTAAAACAAATAACACATAATTTCGCTTAAGTCAAAGACGTCTTGAATATTGTAACATCGCAAAAAGTAATGCAAATGCGGTTAGCTACAATCCTCTTGTAATATTTCACACGGTATAGGTATCTACATAACTTGTAGTTGAGGAATACCTAGTCACGCACGAGAAGTGTCAATAGGTCGTCAATCTCACGAGGATGGACTACTTTTAAGTTACGAAACATAAGTAATAAGTAAAAAAAGTGCTAGTCTCAGTAAAATACGTAGAGTTGCATGGTAGAGTCTTCTGTATAAAGTTTACACCCGAACGCGAGGCAATTTATAAAAAAATCGTTTCTGGTCAAGAAAAGCGTTAATCGTAGCGCTATAGTTCCTAGGGCCACCTATGGGAGCTACGGCTAAAAAATAAGAACGTACATCAGCCTGAAAAAAGAAATCAACACTTACTTATCCAAAGCGATGACTGCGAAGTTGATGGTGTCTCTGGGCTGGTAGACCCTCTTGTCGGTCTGCACGAACACGCAGAAGCTGCGGGGCTGGTACACCAGCGGGGCGGCCGACGAGAACAGCGGCCCGGAGGTGGACCGCGCCACCAGGGAATACTCCCCGGGGCCTGGGTCGCCTATCTATATGTTATAGAGTGGCATTTGTTTTATATTGATGTGTGGGAAATGAACATTTAAGTTGTTTATTAGTTTTAGCATGGCAAACTTTAATATCTGTAACTGTAAAAAAAAAACTGCAATAACCTGCCTATGCATCACAAAGAGTTGATGAGTTTGTCATGTTAAATTATTACTTTTATTAAGTAAATAAAACTTTTATTAAGTTTACTTAAATGTAACCTAGTAATTATTACGATTACAAAATTGTTAGTAAATAATGAAATTCTAAACTTATTGTATGAAAGAAAATGAACTAATAAACTGTATTGATTGCTGTAGTTTAGACAGTAACAATAAAATTCAAATTTACACTTCCGTCTTCTTTTATTTATCTAATCACTAATTAATGTTACTGAACAGAACAACAGAGGAATTGGCCTTTTAAGTAGAGCAGATTTTTAGCTTTTTTACCATCGATATTGAGTTTTCAGAGATTTTTACAAAGTAATAGTTAATTATCAAAGCTTAAATATTGGTAACTTAGGACTACACAACTCGCACTTGTTGCCTAATACGCTAATACGGACTCTACAGTCATTGTTTGAAGTAAAACAGGTTGTAGATAACTCACGTTGAGTTAGTCATACATAAGCCCGATTTTTCCTGTCTCACCACCGCTTTTTAGAGATTTTCAGTGAAAAATATAATTTTCATTGCAGTGGCGTGTGGGATCTCAATTGAACCTAAGTACCGTAAACTGCGTTTTTGTGAAGGAATTTGTAATCTACCTACCAATTGCCTATCTAGAAATGAAACCAACTCCTGTCATTGATAAGTTTTTACCAATTATTTTGATACTTACGTCAAAGTCCACTTGTCTCGACGTGGCAGGAGGGACCTGCACCTGTCTCCCCTGTGAGAACTGCTCGCCGTTGGATCTGCGGCCTTCCACTGCCACGTACAGCGTGTGGGCGCGCGACCCTCCGGCTATGGCCACGCTGTAGGAGCTGAAGGGCCTCAGCACTCGGGGCCCTACCACTGATATGCTACAAACAAACATTCAATCAGGAAACTTCTTTGTAACTGCTTGCACGGTTGTAACTGTTGATTCAGAATGACATCATAAATTCAAATAAAATCACGTCAACAACGATGCATTAAAAACCGCACGAGAATCGTATGTGCAAGGTCGTTTTTATTTACGTCTAGAGTATTTTATGCCAAAAATAGTTACCTATCTAGAGACTTAAGTGTAAATTGTGAAATAGGTATTAAATGTATTGAAAACAAAAATGAGATGACCATTACGGCTGTGTTAAATCAATATAGATGTAGACAATAATGCCTAATTACTCATGTAACGTACCATTGTATGAGGGCCGGTGCAATCAAGGCTACCACAAAGGTGCAATAAAGCGTCGTGTGAGTCATCATTCTGAAATAAAAATATGAGTAAATGCATACTGATACCAATAATATGGACTAAAAATACTATATGCCTTATAGGCTTTTTGAATGCAGCTTAGCTTGCGTGGAATATAATTCGTCACAGTATCGTATGCACGCTTCAGGATCTTTTTTATTTGTTACCACGTAGATGACAAATGGCATTACATCGAGTTTGTAAATATTCTCACGTTTTTTGTCTACTTCTTAGTTCTTACAAAAACGTATCCATGTTCATCTTCACACTTGGTGCATCCTAAGCAATAGAGTTTCGCATGTAGCGAATGGAAATTAAAACTAATTTACTGATTGAAAACAATAAGGACGGAATAAGGAAGGACCTAACATTATTTTCGTATTTTACGAACCTACCCACTCAAAGTTAGCTACTTTCGTAAGGTACATACTTACACCCAGTAATAAATTATTACACAGGTAAGTACTTACTTCTAATATGTAGGTATTTGCGAAACATTTAAAATATTTAAATTATCACCAGTTGTCCCGATATCCATTCAATGCAGAAAATTATATGTACCTACTTACCTATTTAATTTATATTTTAACGCGTTGAGATCTTTTCCATACACAATAATTATCATAATTATGATCTCTACGTGCATATTAAGCAGAAGTTACATGGCAGATATTTTTATCTTAATAGCAGTTTTTTATCGTTGCTTTGTCTATCAGAATATGCAGAACCTCCTAGGTAGACGAATTACTTTTCTTATTATGCATAATAACTGAAAACTCGTGAGAAACATTTTTAAACTGGTTGTTATTATCATGTTTTTAAATGAATAAAATTATGTGCAGTTAATAATAACCTGTCCTGTTCATCTTATAAGCAAAATACAGTGTTTAGTTTTTTAGTTTCTTGCATGCAAAAACACTCGCTCATAATTATTTTTTAAAACTTTCGAAGACAGCAGCAGTTGTTTTTCATTCGGCGTTATGTCATGGTGTCGTGGGTGAGCCATTAGATACATATGTATTGAATTTACATGTTTGTCATACCGATTGAGCTCGCCGTCCTTGCGACTCGCGACTGACTCACTGTGACAACATCTTGCGTTGGCGGAGCAGCCTTCTGGTCCAATATGGCTAAGCTAACTAAACACCTATGTACGCAACAGAATATTTCGTAGCATAGCCCATCTTTGGACAATATTTATGTGTTTTATATTTTACATAAATCAGTATCACCATAACAGGCAGGGTAATTCAACAATGCGTATATAACGGTGCACTATAATAAGAGAGATAGTACCTAAATGAACAAAATTGTTAAAGCACAAGTGCGAAGTAAGCTAAGTATTGTCTGTAGCAACTTTCTCCAGACACGCACCGTGGTGCGCGCTGTGGTGTTTACCTCAATCAACAAAACAATCGCTGCACTGAGGAGAGCGTGACTACGAACAATGATCACTTGTCTTGCATAGCATGGATGTCGGGACAAGTTGTTCACACGATTTTACCAACACACGGATTCTGGTATGCAGACTTAACTATTCTGAACCGATGCACATCGGCGACTTGCAAGTTTAAGTCTAGACTCGAAGGTAGAGACGCGACGGGTCGTTATAACAGAACAAAAACACGCACATAACACTTTTGATGTGACCTCACCTGTCGGACACTTCACTGGGTTCCAGCACTTAATTATAACTTAACACTATAATATCACAGATCGTTACGTCCGAATGTGTGGCGAGTCGGGGCGCGCACGGAGCCCGCGAGATGCAGTAGTACTGAGCGGCGCGGCGCCCGCGCAGCCTAGTGGGGCGCCGCGAAGCCTTGCGAAAATCCGCCGCCACTGACCGTGCGGCACCCACACCACGTCCCGCGTAGTGGCTCTACGGCGCGGAAATACAACCTACATTCATATCAAGTTCACTCAATCGCTGCATTGCTTAACTCTACATGCTTATGCGCTCCTGGTACTTTTTGATACAGTTCTTTGCAATCGGCGATCTTTATTCACTCTTTCTTTTTGTTTTAATTTCTAATCACAAAAATTAAAAGAGGCAAAGTTAATAGTATTAATTTACATTTTAATAGCTAACAATTTGTAACTTTTTATTATGATGATCCTTATGCGCTCCGCCGTGAGATCTTCACACTAATTTTATGCAGTACTGCTTTTATTTCATTATTACAGGACGAAAATAGGTTAATAATAATTTGAGGTACATTCATAGAACCAGTTTTATTGTCGCACGCGCAAGAATACTCTGTGGCCGGCGTCATTATAAGATGCCCGATGCGGGTCAGCGTGGTGCATTCATGGGAACGAGTTTTAGCATTGCGGTGCAACGGCCGCGATGTTTATCGTTGGCCAACCTACATCTACCCGTGGTCTGCGGAGACAGACGTGGATGAATGTTCGTATACAAAACGGTATTCGTGTGATCATTGTAATTCAGTGTAAGTTTCTTTGGTTCTACTTAGTTTCAACTTCGCACAATTTTAGTATCGTTTAAAAAATCATACAATATCTAAATACATACAGCTAAATAGTTATACTAGGAAATCTGTCCTTGCATTATGTGCGCACTGCAGTTTACAAAAACAAATGTTTTCGCGTAAAGGACACGGAGACCTCTAAAATCTTAATAGTTCGGACAGTGCAAGCCTTGTCTCAGGAACCAGTTTGGAAGGCCCATCGACAGGTTCTCCCACATCTTTTATTTTGTGCCAAATCTGTAGAATGTCGCTTATATAGTATTATATTTATATCATGTGGCCGGGTGACGTCAGGCTACTTTGTTTCTAATGTCAATGAATAGTAATTAACACCTGTAAAAAGTGGAGTGGGTATGTAATGGATTTAATTGCACGTATAATATTGTCTAGTTATTTTATTAAATGAAAGTTACAAATCACTTTTAACTAAGTAAGTAGTTATATTTTGTCTAAAATATTATGATAATAACGAATTGTAATAACCTTAATGTTCATAAAGTAAATTAATTAATCAGCAAGGAACGAGTCAATCGGGCAAATAGCAGACGAGCCCATTGGCGGTGTAGATCCCGCAGACCTTTGTGTTTTAGTAGGAGTGTTATCACTTGCGTGCATGCTAGCGGCCAGAGCTGCGTTATCAGACAACGCGGACGCCAGTGCGATCTCCAGGCGTGAAGTACCCGCTCGTTCTGCCTCTAAAGCTGCTCGGAGTTCCAAAACCGTCTCCGATTCGTCAATACACGGCTTGGATTCGGTTGTGTGTGTTGCACGCAGCTGCAACTCGGCAACGAGAGCTCCAAGTCGCGCTATTTCAGCTGAAAGAACAACAGGGAGTTGCGCGGGGATTGTATGAAGTATTTGGGGCATGCGATGCAACGAACTGCAAACGCGACGCGACGTGACCTCAGCCGTCGAGGCATTTTGCATAAATATAATACCTATCTTACTTATGAATTAAGTGTAGGAGCTAAGCATAGAACAGTAGTGCGCTAAATAGCTCGTAGCGCAGTGGGTTTAATATTCGCAATAAGTTTAATTTAAAAAACAAAATATTCTGGATTCTGGTTAATGGTATATTAAACTACAGTTTGGGACTTGAGAATCTTGGTGTCTAAATAACGCAAGTAACGCCTACTTATTGAGTGTTCATAAAACTAACAGAAAAGTATTGATGATTAAACGAACTTACGTAGTACGGGAAGTTCGATTACAATTATACTAAGTGTTTCGTCTGACCGAAGAGATTAGTAAAGGTAAATAGGTATACTAATCTCGAGGACGAAGCACGTGTATAATACAAATTATTATCTTTGATTAAGGTAAACGGCTACTAGTTCGTGATAGTACGTAAGTTCGTAAGTTTTTTTTCTAGCTCAAATAATAAGCAAATGGAATATTATTTATAAAAATTCTTTATTACTACAAAAACTCTATTATTTAAGCTATCTAAAAAACCAAGTACTAACATTGTGGCGCCAAAAATGAGAGCAATACGAAGCTTCAAACTCTCAGAGAGCCAAAAACAGCCGTGCGGCATGAAAATGTTGCTCTCACCGTTAGGTTAGCGCTCCAACTTCTTAAGCTTATAAAAAGGCGAAGAGACGTCCATTTGCATAAAACTTGTAATAGTGGTTTCATGTGTTCCTTGACAATTGATTTGGCTTAGAAAAAAGTTATATGAAAACGTAGAATTCCTTTAAAATTGCGATTAATTGACTCACGAAATAGCGTACATATAATTTTTCGGGTGTCCCCTGTTTCGTGATACTACCGAATCAAGGATATTATAGATAATATTTTGATGCTTGGTTTTTAAATAATTATTTATGATAATTGAAATGTAAGTTATGAAACAAATAATACATTTATTTAAGTTTCTCATGATCTAAATTCGGTATATGTTTCGTTCACTAGAATTTATATGACATGAGTTTGAAGTTCACATATATGACCAATTTTAAGATAAATTAGCATTAGTACTACCAGCGTAATTTTGGTTTTAATTCGATTCGTTTTATTTATCTTGGTTTATTTGTATTTTATATGGGATAGATAATAGTTAATTGACACAATTTGACAATAATCCATGAATTTTACTTGGGGAATTTGGAATAATTAGTATCACGAAACAAGGAACCGTAATTATTGTTACTTTTTCCCAAGTTCGTGATATATAAATGTATAGTGTTAGGTACTATCCTCACTTGAAGCAGCTCCAGAGGTGGGGGGTTGGTCCCCCCCCCCTCCCACGTTTTTTAAATTTAGACTTGTATAAATTTTTTCACATATCGTTAGAAATAAAAAAATCTAAATTGTATGGGTACGAAAGGGGAGGGGGGGGGGGTAAGGCCCCCCTACATTTCTGATGGTTATATAAGTATATAAATATACCCATACAATTTAGATTTTTTTATTTCTAACGATATGTGAAAATATTTATTTTCACATATTGTTAGAATAATAAATCAAAACTTTATACGAAGGTACGTACCTACCTAGCTAGACAGACTCACATTATTTCTCATGAATTTTTCAGGTAAGTAATATCGTCAATTTCACAGAATTCTTTTATTCTAAATTTATACTATCGTTTTTAAATTTATTAAACCCTTAATCATTATTAAAATATCCTAACTCGATGCGTAAAACTTTATCCCGAAATAGGGGACATGAGTTCACGAACTTAGAAACAGAGCAAAATTTTATCACGAAACAGGATCCAAACAAGAGGTCCGCAGAACAATTAATATTAAAAAAAGTTTAAACAATATAACTATAATTTATGTATTAAGTTACTGTCAAAAGACCAAACTTTAGCATACAAAAGCTTTCATACTGATATCATCCTTGGTTATTTTTAAATAAATTGTTAAAGTCGTAAGAGCCTTAATATACCGAAGTAGGGGGCACTTACCTTACTTAACTTGCTTTTGAACACATTAAAGCCAAGGATGCAGATAGATTACATTTGATGGATGCGTATCTTTCTGCTATTTCCACCTACCATTAGCCTGGCGCAGTTCCCTCGTAGCGTGCTGCAGCTCGGCGGCCGCGAGCTTCCGTTCGCGAGCATGCGCGGCGGCCGCGAGCCGTGCTCGCTCACGTATCTCAGAGCCGCCACTTGCGCAGCGCTCCACTCGGCGAAGCTCTGCTTCCAGGCGAGATGATTCCCTAGTAAATTGATTATGGGTTGAATATAACTTTTATTTTGTTCACCATTGTTCACGTCAAACATTGAGATTAAATTCACCAAATCAGTTTTCAGATCATTAAGACGTGTTCTATGTGTACGCATCTCTCTCTCTCGCTACATACATACTTATATTAAATAAGTAGGTATTTAGGTAGAGCTTATACGGATGTCAATTGGCGAATTTGAACCTAACAAAGTCGAACCGAACGAATAGGTACCACCTACCTACTTACACATTCTAATGCTTTTTCGCCACTAGTACTGAGTTGAACGAATTTTGCTGTTTCGCAAACAAAAAAGCATGGATTTCACTGAACAAAGGCCTCCTCCAACAGGCTATTTTGGAGGAGGCCTTTGTTCAGTGTTCAGCAGCGGATATCATGTGTTAATTATTCAAAATGATTATGATGAATATTATATTAATTTTAAGTCTTAAATGTATTTTAAAAGATTCACTTGCGAGCTTCTTCAGTGGCTGAACAGATCCTTTCCTGCAGCTCCACATACTGCCGCTGCAGCGCGGCGTGTGCTGACTGCAGCGGCCGCAGCTGCTGCAACTCCCTCTCCAAACACCCGACTTGAGTTGTGATCTCCGTGCACCGCTCTTCTAACAGAGTTCTTTGACGCTCCTTTGTAATGACAGACGAGAAATAAAGTATTTAGAAAAGTTGAAACATGTGTTTTTTTTCTTCTGAATCTGAAATATGTACCTACATACCACTGAGGTACTAGGCAGTAGGCAGGCTACCCTGCCTAGGTAGGTGATTTTTAAGGACTATTTTGTCTAAAAACTTTTGAGCATCTAGTTAAGTAAGCTTAAGTACCTAACTGAGAACAAAAAACTTCTGACTAAGTAATAATTAATTTTGGGCATCAGTAGACCACCTTATGAAGGATAGTTGGGATTCTTTAATACTTACGACGAGTTCCAACTGCATTTTAAGTCCAGTCAAGTCATCTTGTGCCTTTGCCAAAGCAGCAGCGGCCTGCGTGGCGCTGGCTGCGGCTGCTGCGGCGCTGCTCCTGGCCTCTGAGGCCGCTCGCACGGCGCTCTCACGCGCGGCCTCCGCAGCTTCAGCTCTTGTGGACTCTGTCCTCACTGCTTCTCGAAGACGAGTTTCAGAAGTCTACGGTAGAGGAAACCTTGAATTTTTGGAAAGATCCAGTTTATTCTGCAACCTATTTTTGATATTATTCGTTTCATGAAGCACTTTCAGGATAAGTAACCAGTTTGCTAATATCTTGTATAGATAAGAAATAATCGAGTGAGATCACTTACCTACTACCCTTTAAAGTTTTAGTGGGATTGGAATTACATATTATTTTTATGAAATTTGCTAGCTATCCAGAATGTTTTCAGTGATACGTTAGAGCTTTGGCGTGTCAAACAAAACCTTTTCTTTTATTTTGTAGTCATAGCATAACAACATTTGAACTTACACTAATTGACTGAAATTCTCCAAGAAGTTCAATAAACTGTTGTTCAAAAATATCAAAATCCTTCATACTTGCTTTTACCTATCTTATTTATTTACATAGAGTAGGTAGTAACTTTAAAAACTTTTATAAATAGTAATTTATAATTATTTTGCAAACAATATAAATTCGTAGGTAATGCACCCCACAACAAAGAAAAACAAACTTTTTCCCGCCTTTTAAAAAGTCAAATGTATTTTTTTTATGTTTGACTGAAAATGCGTGTCTTTGTCTATGATTCCAATTGAAGGTTCTAAGAAATCTAACAATTATAACTTAAAATGTTGGAATGAAAAATAAACAGCAAAATGCTTTTCCGTATTCTGTTATTTTTATTTGTTATCAAGTTAATTTATTATGTAGGTAGGTAGGTACGTACTTTGTTCTTTAGTTGTCATTTTTTATTAACGTTACATTCCATGTTCGAGAATAGAAATAATTACCTTACTTAGAATTTTTCTTCATCTTTACTCGCCAATCTTAAAGAATCCTTGGTCCTCGGAAAAACAATTTTTGCCAATAATGAGATCAATCTAGAGAGTTTAAGATAATTGAAATGTGTCAATTTTCGCGGTGCCTTGCAAAACAAACGAGCGAGGGGAATATTAAAGAAGGGGGATGATGTTTTCCACAGGGTGAATTCACTATAAAAGGCCCAGTATTGTTTCAGCCGCCCATTCTATTTACGGGCCTCCATCCGTCGCGGTAAGTACCAGATAAATTGGACAAATTGATGCAATTATTTTGTTTTAAACATTTTTTTTAATGTAGTAACCATAAACTTTACTTTTTTATTTAACTAACTACTTCTACATAGTTTTGTTTTATACATTTTTTGTCTGTGAATTTTTATAAACGCTTCCATTCTATCTATCTACCTAACATTGTCTGGATTAATGGACCTCTTTTAATTAATGTAGTAAGTAGGTAATATCAGCACATGAACCGTGGTCAGTCATGGTCAGTAGTAAAATAGAGTCCCTTAAAAATACTTTATGGTATGGTAGTGCCCGGAAAACTTTACCATAAAGTGCCCTTTCAGATTTATAAGCTCAAATATTATCATGGTGTTAGGTACTGAAGCGTTTCACTTTAATTACAGACTAAGTAATATAAAAAATTTAACAGGTGCGTAACACAATCAAGATGCGGTTCATCACAATCGTCGCACTAGCGGCAACGATGACGCTGGCTTTGTTCCTGCGGTACTGCGAGGGTGCTGCGCTGCGGCGGCTGTCTCTGCCTGATGACGACGAGGAGTTCAGGCCGCGGCCGCTGTACCGGGACTACCTGATCCGGCGACCTGCTCGTGCAGACGATGCCTTCGACGACTATGGACACCTCCGCTTCGGCCGTTCTGACGACTGACGCCTGCCCGCCCTCAAACGACTCGCCGCGTACAAGAACAGAGATCGAGCGCAACTCAAAACGTGTCATCATTAAGTCGTTAGCATTAGGTATTATAGGTATTGATTAAGATTAAAATTTACCTTGAAATCCCAAGGCTGGAAGTTTTGATTCATAACTAACTTTTTTACGCAGCCAATTTCCTGTGCGCAGTATTGATGTATATTATAAAATATTTTTTCAACATGGACATGTAAACTTATTCAATGATTGTGATCACCATTGTTGAAAAATCGATGTATTGATTTGCCTTCATTTTGGCTATAAGCTTGCCCAACGTAACACACGTCACACGTGAGTATCATACTGTACTATGTGCTCTCATATTTTCCTATTGTACTTGTAATAACTAATTAGTTACTTACTTCAATTATTACTTAGGTAGGTAACCGCTATAATCTGCTGTAAACTTAATTATTATAAATTAAATATCAGTGCATAAATTAAAAGACGTTTTTAATGATTTCCAATGTAATATAACCAATAAATACATTTAAAACAGTTATTTATTACAATAGACGTGTTATAATAATTTCATTATGAATTGAATACCACCGTAGACGCTAAAATATATTTTATAATAAAGATCACTGTTAAGGCATTTTCCTATGGCTCTATTTACCTTATTTTAACATTAAATAGTATATTCACATAAACCTTTTAACTCAATTGCATTCATTTATTAACGCATACATATCTCTATCGTTGTATCGCGGCATTGTACATAATTAAAACATTGCCTTTATTGTATAATTACCCACCAAAATGAAATAAATTCAATATGAATCATTAAATTATTGTATTGTCTTCATAAATAAGTTTGGTTTTAATGTAATTAGCAGCTTCCTATTGAAACATGTGCAACATGATAAATAAACTATGATAATTTTAAAAGCATGTTGTACTAACGTTTCTTTAATATTCGTTGTACTTTGCTTAGTAGGCACGGTATGTAAACTAACTAGAAAAAGCAATTACACGTTTATTGCGTAATTAATAAAATTTTATTTCTCTTTTAAGTTATTATGAACAAATGCTAAGGTTATGGATGTATCGTATTAACAACATTTAGGCACGCATAATATCACTACTCTATATTAAATTAACATGAGACTAGTTAGTTTCTTTCCTACGCTAATATTAATAGTAATCTATATAATTGAAATTTAATTTATGTATAGCATTTCATTAAAAATGATTAATAAATTGTACCTACTTGGTGAAAATCAAGCGTATTGGAAAGATTAACTTTGAAACAAAAACATTTTCAGATAACATACCACAATCTAAATTTGACATCAATATAATTTTAGATTTCGCTCAACTTTTAGATATAAAGCGATTTAAAATTTAAAAATTTACAGGATCCAAAAAAATGATATAAAATTAAATGTGTTAAACACTTTTCAATGAGTGAGTATTACATAAATAATAATAAAAATAATATGTATTTAAATATCTGAACGTAGCTTTTCTTCTTAAAATTATATGATGTCCTTTTTCTGTGTGTTCCCAAGTAATGCCTGAAACAATAAAAACAATTATTAATCTTAAGAGTTGTGTAATCTTCTGTAGTTTTCTTATTTCGATTGCTAGAGAGCTTTAACTCGATATTAAAAGCTTAATAATGTTTCGAATTCGACTTCTTGGCGGGAAAGTGGAGTGTGGAGTACTTCTGTCTCACACCACCGGGGCCTCGATTGCGCTAATTTGTAATGTCTCCAATTCATTCGCGTTTCAACCCTAGTCCACACTCCAGTTACACTCCATTAATAAAGACGAAACAACGGATATAATGCACTTTCCATTAAAAGTCTGAACACCTTATTTTTGAAACAAAAATTACTAAAACGCAGCAAATGTTCGTGAAGCGTTTGAGCACGGTAATAATATCATACAGTATTGTAACTTCATATAAACAGACGAAACGAGAACTTTCTTTCGATATTCAAATCTCGGTATGTGCTCGGTATGCAAAAGTCGGGGGTGTCGCGACTGTGCCCAATGGACGTCGGTGGCCAAGTGTTAAAAATGACAAAACTAATTGAATTTGACTGACCGTAATTTACGGTCAAATTGGTCAAAAACTAGTCAAATTTACATTTTCAGTCAGTTTGATTTGAAATGAAAATTATATTGATTCAAACCAGCTTTTGCCCACGACTTCGCCCGCCCGAAATTAAAGTAACAGATCATTATGATTATTAAAGTTTCGAAATTATTTAAGTGGTTTTTACTAAATTAAAATTAAATCTACTAATCACAAAACGACACACATTTTTAACCTATTCCATTGATAAAGTATTTTGTTTGTCTAACTAAATAAAAAAATACAATCACAAAACTAGATAGAAATTCTAAGTAGGCAGATGTAATTAAACTGGGTACTGTAGGGTGGGCAGCCCTACCGCATGTTGTCATACTGTGACGTACCGCGCGACTGTTGACATTTATTTCAAAAATATGGCCGAGTTGGAATACTGTATAGATAGTATTACCGTGGTTTGAGATAAGTAGCTTTCTGTCAGCTTTTACCCTAAGGTGCAGTTGCTTCCGTTTTTTACATTACAACTTCGTTTGAACTACCTATCAAAACGACACCGCGATACGGATTTGTCAAAACAGCTGACGATTGTTCGTCGTCTAGTCGCGTTGCAGTTGAAAATTTTTAGCGCAATCGGGGCCCAGTTGGCGCCTCTTCAAAAGTTACTTATCGTGTGAGGCCTTATGTGAAGCTTACACAAAATAGTTTTCTCATTGGCGAAATAGTGGTTTCCATTAGGTACATTCAAAAAAGGAAAAGAAGAACTACTTCTTAGATCCTGAGATTTAAAGTAGTCAGTGATAGATACCTTATTGACGAAGTTGACGATGGCGGTGGCGGGCTGCTCGGGCTCCAGCTCGGCGAACACGTGGCACTGGTTGTCCGCGCCCACCGACGCGCGCGCCACGAACGCGAAGATGCGCCTGCGCAAACGACATGGTTAACACGTAGGCTGCCATGACAGTCACCGGTGACTGACAAACATGCAACCTATTCGGGCCATGTCAGTCACTGGAGCCTGACACTGAAGCATCTAAATCAAACGACCGCAGTAGGCCGCCTGGCACGTTTAATGCGTTACTTCCTATTTTAAATGACTGACGTGGCCCCCAACAAAGTATGTTCAGCATGGCCTGCAACTCTTGTACCTAAATAAAAATTAACACAGGTTTGGATGAAAATTTAAGTAAAAACACGACAAATATTGAAATTCTTAATAAAATCACAAGTTTACGATATATTTCGGAATAAATTATTGACCATAATTATTAAAATTATTATTTGTGTAAAAAATTGAAACATTACAGACAAAAATTAGGCTGATTAGGGCTTTGAAGAGAGTAAGTTATAACTTGCTGTCTTTCTCGACTTTACACGACCGAAATTTGACAGTTGACCGACAGCAATGATTTTCATACTAGATTTGCTTTTTGCGCGCAAGTTTTGTAAGAAATTGCAACAAAATATTGCGCTGATTCTGCTGCATACTGGTGTCTGGAGCCTTTAATGGATGGTATTGTTTGTTTTCACATACAATGTCACTATTTTGTTGCAATTTCTTACAAAACTTGCGCGCAAAAAGCAAATCTAGTATGAAATTCATCAAACTTCTGATGCTCGTAACTCAGTTCAGACTGAGTTTAGAGGTATACATGCCATAGTAAGTTTGGTTTATTACACTATTTTGTAATAAAAAACAAGGTTTGGTCGATGGCCGCGCGAAAAAAAAAAGACGCCAATTTCCGGCATTGTCTTTTATGAAATATAATCATTATATTGAGCAATGGAGTAGTATTTAGAGGAAGCTTAGTGTCAAACAAGGACCATTTACAACAATTTACAAATAAATAAATACGGTTGTAACTATCTACTACTAAAATCATTTCATCAGTGAACATAGTGGCAATAGAGAACAACAAGAATAGTGATGTGGTGAAAGTCTTCTCATTTCCCGAAAGATGCCCGTTTTCACCATCAATCCCTATTTTTTTAAGTGACCCCTTTTTAAACAAAATGCCTGTCATGTGTTACTATAGGGGTCACTTAAAAATTAGGGATTGATGGTGAAAATGGGCATAAGTACCTACTTTTATAAAAAAGTACGTGGTGGTGCGACAATCAAATTTATTAGGCATATAATATAAACTACTTCTATAAACTGGCTGATATCTAAAAATAGATGTCATCGCTACTCACTTCTCGCTCTGTTTCCCGGCGTCGACGTACATGTACCGGCGGTCGTCTGGGTCGAGTCCGGCGTAGGACACGCCGGCGGCGGGGTAGTGCCGCCGGAAAAATAGTTTCCGCGCCGAGTCCGTCAGCGTGATACCGCCGCCGAACACTTTGAAGTGCACCACATGCGCTGGCGCCTGGGGAGAATATTGTAAATAATTAAAATACAAATTATGTTGCGCTACGAAAGCTCCCATGCTACGAGTGGCGATAAATGTAGGTATTTATCAAAAGAGTTAAAATAAATCAAATCCACCACCTATTATTTAGTTTAAAAATCGTTTTTTACGCTTTATTATTTTGTATTTCTTAAAATCGTAACTAGTTTTCGTAGCAAACGTCGTAGCGTTCGTAGCAAGGACTATAATCCTTGCTACGAACGCCGCATCACCTACAACGTTGCTTTTTTGTGTATTTTCATCTAGAAATAATATTTTGGACAGCTTAAATAAATGTTTATTCTGAATTAAGCTTTAAATAAATCGACCCAACAGCCTGATTGATTGGTAGAATGTTATCTTATTTATGAAAAAATGATTTAAACAAATGCAAACAAAACAACATCTATGGCTGTGGCTGGACTATATTTTATAAGACAGGTGCTGTACTGCTGCTGCTGCAGTCTACTTTCACATGAATACTCGAAAATCAAAAGTAAGGATATAAGTATACTTATTCACAGTTTTTAAATAGAAAATCGTATCATCTGTGCAATTCAGTGTGCTCTATCGTTAAAATTATCTAGTTTTTTTTTCTCTTCTTTGATCTAGTTATTAATTATGCTTCGTACCTTTTTGACGAGCAGGTTCTGCACGGCCCGCTTGACGGCGGCGGGCCCGGTGAGCGCCTCGGTGTTCTCCGAGCCTAGCAGCAGCACGTGACACGCTGCACCCGTGGCTAGAAGTGCACGCGCAGCGGCATTTGCGCTGCCACCCGTCCAGGGGTCTCTGTGAGTGGTGGGATAATAGCCAATCATTACAGAAATTATTGTTCCAGTATCTGACTATTTCGCCTCTTTACAAGAATAACGTGGTATTTTTAAAACCACTACCTACAATAGAAACGCAAAGAAGGAACTTTTAAAGCTCATTAATCGTATTAATGTAGTCAAGATTCTGAGGGAACATTGAAAATTGTCGATAGAGTATTTAGAAGAGTCCGTGTAAACCGATTACTGTTTCCTAATTTGCTCCTATGATGGTGGTCAACAAAAATGGATCCATTGTTCAATGAAGGCAGTCATGAATCAGATTATTTAGTCTCTACTGCAGAAACACGAGCTTTTCCACTTTACAAGAGGCAAATGGAGTATTTGGCTTTGGTGTAAGACATTCTGTCAGCTCACCTGTCAGGCAGCCGCAGCGGCACCGGCAGCGCTAGCGGCGTAACCGTATGTTGGTACACCAGCGCTGACAGCGAGCCGAAGACAGGCTCGTCGGGGCAGCCGCGTAGGCGCACGCCGCGCGCCGTCGGCTCCACCAAGAAGTGACGCACGCCGCCGCCCGCGCGCACTGCTAGCCCGAACCCGCCCGGGAACGAGTTCGAGTCGCGGACGATGAAGGAACCTTCTTCTAGCGGCTGCAGCGCTGCTACAGCTGAAGATCAGATCTGCTGTTAATAATTTACTGACAATCAAATGAGATCAAATCATTTATTTTTTATTTTAATTATTTACTTCTTTAAACATGTTGCTTATTTAGTTTAAGACGCGCAGGATGAATCAGTGATCTTCTAAAGGTTGCAGATCGTTATTAGGTACTTACTACAGATAAGCAATGCAAGTTCTGTTAGTTTTCACACTTTTTTAACTTTTGTGAACAGCACTACAAAGGCCCCGACCGAAAAGTGCGATAGGTCGCATTTCCCACTGCCCTAGCCAAATCTTCTCTTGTACAGGCGTTGAGATGCAACGGGCATTCAAGTAGGTGAGCCGTGGTCTAAAGCTCCTTCCTCCCTACAATAGCATGCATGCAGTACGACGATCAATTTGGTTTCTTATAGATACTTAAGTATTAGACTTGACCTTTGATATGAATGGAAATAAATGTTTTTACTACGCTTAGTCAAGTTTATGAATAAGGAAACTTGTACCTACTTGAGTATTGTAAAATACTTCATATGATTTTATTAAAGGCTGATATTTCAACCGGTATTTTATAAAAATACAGCAACACTTTGGAAACCACTTTACCTAATTAGAATAAATATTTGCATGCTAATGTCTGCATTAGTTAACAGAATCGCAGCTGTTTACACCCACGTCTGCGTAATGTAGAGGTGTCGATACATACAAAGTTGTTATTTAAGTAAATGTGTAATTGTGTGATTTCCTATGATTATCACCAATCACTCTTGCAGTTAGCGCTAACAAGCAGACTATTAGATGTTTTACATAAGATTATTTTAACGGTGGTAACCATTAGTACCTGGCAAGGTACAATTTTATGCTACTATGACCTACAGCTTGACTTTATCCTCATTCGATCACGCAGGGAAACTCCGAGCATAGCACGCTCCATCGCCCTTTGGGTGAAATTGAGCCTTCTTATGAGGCCCATAGCAAGTGACCACGTCTCAGATCCATGCTAAGTATTATCACCTTAATACAGCACAGTTAAGATTCAAGACATCACGTACCATCGACCCTGCAGTGTAGATGTTGGGCTTGTACCAGTAGTGGCTGGTGTCGCGGGCAAAGCGCACGCGTTCGGACGCCACGTGCTGCGGCTCCGCGCTGCCGCCCAAGCTGGAGCACCAGGCTATTATCGCCATAATGCATCACAGCTAAGATTCAAAATGTCACGTACCGTCGTCCCTGGAGATGTTGGGCTTGTACCAGTAGTGGCTGGTGTCGCGGGCGAAGCGCACGCGCTCGGGCGCCACGTGCTGCGGCTCGGCGCTGCCGCCCAGGCTGAAGCGCCAGGCTATTATCGCCTTAATGCAGCACAGTTAAGATTCAAGACATCACGTACCGTCGTCCCTGGAGATGTTGGGCTTGTACCAGTAGTGACTGGTGTCGCGGGCGAAGCGCACGCGCTCGGGCGCCACGTGCTGTGGTTCCGCGCTGCCGCCCAGGCTGGAGCGCCGCGAGCCGCAGCTGCCGTTGTATGTGCGGTACTCCGACTCGGGGCTGCCTTCGCGCTCTTTCCTGCTCGCAATAGAATAAAAGCTATAAGTAAATAAACGGCGAAAGGGAATGTCTCGATTAAAATCATGCACCACAATAACTTTGAAGACTTTCTCTTCAAAATTACATATTTAACTTGGTCAACCATTATATATCACAGAGTCAGTCATAGGTATCTCCTATTAATTATTTATCGCGCTTAGGAATCGAAGCTGACTTCCTTTCTCCTATACGATGAGTTTAGCTATTAAGTTGGTCGTGCATGATGTCGTTAAAATCGTTATTATCTTAATGTCATGTTATATTTTTCGAAATTGTCTGGTTTTATAAACAAAATCAAGGCAAATGAGATTGACCGACAGTTTATTTTCGGTTGTTTGTTTACACGACGCAGTACTGCTCTAGTTTTTACGCATGACCTTTATTTAATTAAAGTGATGTACACCACAGCTGCACCACACAAAACAGCCGTGGAATGGTTATTTTATTCGTGTGTCATGGTAAAATCGTGCAATTTATGAATGTCATGACATTATTATGAAACTAGAACTCATTACTGGTAGCTATATGCGTGACCCTATCAAACGATTGAACATATTTTCCGGGTACTCAGATCTGAAATGCGAACAGCATGCTACATCGAGCGGCCTATCCCTTCAAAGTGTTCTTTAAACATGCCTATTTATTAATTTAGCATCTAGATTCTAGACCGCATTGCTTCACTCGAAAAGGAAGTGTCAAAATATTATGGATAGTGTTTACTCTACAGCTCGTGCGATATGGCAAAGGAAATCTCTAAAGAATCGATTCAATTTATAGATTTGTATAGGTCCTCTGGGTGCTAGGCAAGGAAGTACTTTTGCACCGTTTATCTTCAGTATAAAACCCTCATTATTGGAGACATATCCTACCTGGTGACTGGCGGCGAGCGCGGCGGGCGGGCGCTCAGCGAGGGCGTGGGCGTAGGCGGGTAGGGCGTGCGAGGGTGCGTGGGGAACGCCGGCGTGCCCGCGCGCGACTCCGAGCGCGACCAGCTCTCGGACCTCTCGCGAACCTAGACCAGAAGGATAGAGACTCAGTATACAGTGTGAGTCACGTTAAAGTGTCCATATGAAAATAGATGAAATAGGGATAGAGACATGCAATTTTTAGTTTTACAAAGATAATACGATAGAGAATAATAAAAAGTAATAAAAACCACCTGTTATAGGGGCATTTTTCGGAGAAATTTATCAAATAACCAAAAAATACGAATTTATAAGCAGATTTTTTTCAAAAAGTATCATTTTTTATTATTTGTTGGCATTTCTTGTGTATTTTATGTATTTTTTTAGTAACGCCTGTTATTTAGCATTATTACTGTTTTTATTTTATCAAGATATACCGCTTAGTTTAAAAGTTATTACGTTTTTTTTACATAAGTAATTGGAGGAAAAAAAAATTTATAATTTAAAAAAAAAAATCTCAAAAAAATTTTGACCACTTTTTTGTCGATAAAAATAGGTCTAGTTTCATTTATTTTCATATGTACACTTTAACGTGACTCACACTGTATAAGAACAACCGAAGATACTTTTACTTAGTCACGGCTCTAGCTACGGTTTGTAAAAAGCTACCTATGGTATAGGTAAAAACGTTTCCTCACTCGACACGACTTTTGGAGTCAGGAAAGCAAATGAATTCTTCGCTGTTGTATGTTTTCAGTAAGGAAACTCTAGATGTAGTTTACATATTAGTAGATAACTCGTCAACTTATGTATGAATTCAACTTACTACACTATCGCCATTGTTGATGGGTTCCGCAAGTGACAATAAACCTGGCACGGGAGTACTCGTAGGTGTCGTATTGGTACTCCACTCGCGCATCGTCATCTTTTCATACATGAATTTCCTAGATGAGGTTCTGTAAAACAAACAGTTATAGGTAGGTCAGTTCTAATACGTAAAATGGGTCCTTAACATATTTTGTAAGATAAATGGACACACTTAATTACCTGTCTGGAGCTTGAGGACTAATACTATCAGTCCTGAGGGGAGTTCGTGCCGTGTTAACATGTAGAGGCACGCTGAAGTCATCGTCGTCGTCGGCAAAAGCGGTTGTGTCGCTAGTGTAGCCGTCCACCCTACGACAATAAAATAAATTGTTTAAAACGCCTGCAAGCGCAATAAAACAATCATCGGACCATATGGCGATTAATTACCGATGGCTGGCCGATCGCCGCACATGTCGCGTCGCCGTGTCCCACTCGAGAGGCAGCCGCGCGACTCTTTCCCTTGCTTCTTTTCGTTCTCGAAGTTTCTGTTGCTGTCGTTGTAACCAAGTTAGGCCCGAGTTGCCTTCTAAGGCGCTCTCTGATCGCCTGGGTTCCCGGGCTCGGGAGCTTTCGTGCCAGCCGAGCGTGCTAGCTGATCGCCAAGTACCATTCTCCGGGGTTTTTCTCGCGCTGCTCGGCGGTCGTTCCGCCCACTCCGCCTCGCCATTTAACCATCTGATAACAAAGACCATATGCTTTACTTAATAAGGAGATCATTAAAACAATTCGATACATCGACATTAAGAGTTCAATATATTAATAAACGTAAATTAGATTTTAAAGAGTAGGTACGTGACATTTGAATACCATAACAACTTCGCCACGAGGTGGATATTTATTCAGCTGTATTTATGTACCAGTTTTTGTATGTTTTTGTTATCATGCGTAGGTCTTGAAGGTTTTGATGTGTTTATGGCAACGTCAAGCATACAATTGTGTAGATAAATTGTGGGTGGCAAGTATAACCCACATAATATGAGCTATTAATTAGAATATTAATCGACTTCCGTACATCTCGTGGAATGGAATGTCACGTTGGACGGTTAATTTACATGTTAGATTTATGCGTAAAGATGAAATTAAAGATATGCCTTTGATAATGTAACATAGCGTTAAGTATTTATTAGAAAGTATTGTATGAAGTCGGGGCGGCGCCGGTCTCGGCCGGTCACCGCGGCCGTTTATGGCGACGTTTATCTCGAAATAGCAACTTGTTTGGGTCATGGCGCGACGCAATCACACGCCATCGCTCCAAATCAATCCCAGAATCGCGACTGACATCGCCTTCCGACGTAAAGCTTCATACTCGGCTGCGCTACTTGTAAGGCAATGCGACTTCTCGTTTAGATAAGTTTGTTGAGCAACATATTATTAAGGTTGACATATGTAATTATAGTCGATATTAAAATCTAGTGGTGCTTGCAACTTTGATTTTATCCAAAGGGCTAAGAGATTGTTGGGTAACGTCGATTCCTAGAATGGTCAGATTCCTAGAGTTTGTATTATAGACGTGAGTGAAACTTTAGAAGCCATTCATTGGGCCGGCGCCGCATAAATATTCGCACTAGGCGGTAAGTGCGCCGGCGCATGTGCGTGCAGTGTTGCGGAACGAGCGAGCGGCCGGCCCACGCATACAATCTGCCTCAATTACGGCCGCTTGCGCTACCGATCCGATCACCACCTACCCAAGTAGGAACTTATACTGATCGGTCCTTATTTTCAAAAGTTCCCTAATTAAGCATATTGCTGGTGTAACATCAGGATTCAGGGCCACTTATCTACCTCTATATCAAATTGACGCAGCAACTTACGTTGAGGTTGTGTATTATCCCAAATAATTTGGTTTCAGAAAAGGTTTTCATTTATTTTGATGATACAAGCTAAGACTGAGCACTCGGAAGACTAGACTAGAGAAATCTGGGTATGTTATTCGTATGATTATCCTGTTAGATATCTACATTGACACAGCTGTTTCCTTTAAAGTATTAACAGCGTCTTTGCTTTTGTAACATTGAGTAGATGACTGTCATAAGTACCCTTTAGCTGCGCATATTAAGGCATGAGTCACAAATGACAGTGTACTTAGCTTCTTGCAGAGCATGATAGGCGTGATTGACTGGGCTATCGCGCCACTTATCTCGCGTCGATCAATTTCGACATGCCCGACATGATCGACACGTGTCATTGTTTACCTTGTGCAAGTGCTAATCGACGGTAGGCAACATACGCGCGCTGGGAGCAAATTGTAAAGCCATTCATTAGCAATCTGTCTGTGGACTATTGTTGTATCTCTGTCAAGTTGTTTCTAAGCTGTTGCATTGAGGTGCATAAGTCACACACATTCGTATTTATACCTGCATTGATTTAGTGGTCGTTGCTTATAGTATGAAGTATCGTCATTATAACAAGACTCTACATTTTAAAACCTTTTGAACTTGTGGATATAATTTATTAATTAACTAACACTCACACATAGACCACTATGTGTAAGTAAGCATAGTAGCTAGATCTATCAAAGGAGTATTGTTTCACTATGGTATTCAAATCGCATAGCTGTCGAGGAATTCATATTGTCCATAATAATGTGTCTATCAAGTTAGGTTCCGTTTAACTTTCAACTTTATTGGTTGCGCGATACGGTAGTTTTATGCGGAGCATAATATGTTATGAAAATTATTTATATGAAGTGCGATATCAAGATAGAGAAACATTATATTAGATGGCTGCCACACACGCTCTCGCAGATAATAACAGTAATTTGCTGCTTGTTGCTGTTGACACGACTTGATTGAACGTACGCGTACTCCGTCAATGTAGCTACTCTATTATTATTTTAAATTATACTTGTATCAGCTCGTAGTGTCGCCTTAAAAGTTCATGTTGGCAATGTATTAAGCTTTATTATGCCGTAGAATACCAATGTCGAAACTTATGTAGAGTTTTAACTTTTTTCTTACTTTTACTAAGAATTTGCAACCCTCGATCAAAAAAAATTTACGCAAATGCTTCACGACGGTTTTGGTACGTATTTAAAAGGTAACTTTGTAAGTCATCATATTTGATCGATGTATCAATAGTGTAGGTACATATCACTGGCTAGCAAAGAATCCGTTGTTTTTATGAGCATTGTTATTCATTCAAGCACCGCCTACAGAATCCGTCCTATCCCACGCTCAAATCTATTATTTAGCCATCAACTAGAGCGGGTGTTTGAAAGATACTTGTTGAATTTATTTATTTTTTGTTCCTGGCTACGTCCTTGTTGGTAAAATGTGTCTGGCAAAAATACCCGTAAAATACAAAGCTTTAGACCAGTTTTATCGTACCTGTTTTTAAATATTTACTTTTGGTCAGCCGTGTAATATTCCGGGTTGTAAAATATAATTTATTACAAGCATAATACAAGCTTTGCTTAGCTTGGGACTAGAAGCGTAGTGTAAAATGACCAAGGCTTATTTATTATTATTTATTATAAGCGTTATGTAGGTTAGATACCTACCAATGTATAGTAGAGGTATATTAAAGATGTGTCTTCCTTATACAAGATTGGATGTGTGATACTTGAATGGTCTTATTGATGCAGTAAAGTGGGTCGAGCGGAACGCGACCAAATAAATTAATAGATCGGCCACACCACACACAACGAGATGGGCCGTTATTTGTTGACAGCCATTTTATTTTGTTTTGGTACATTCAAAAACGAATTTTATAAAATTTACGTAAATTAAAAACAATATTACTCGTACTTAGTTTACAAGTTACATTTTACTTGTTTAGAATTTTTCTTTGATTTCCTTTTATGCAACTTAAAAAATATATATACGAGTAGGTACGATTATTTACAATTTCATTTAAATTTAGAGTGAGCTTAAACCAACATTTAAATAAAATATGGGTAGATTGGTACACCAACAAAACCGGCGTAAATATTGAGGTTGTGAACGTAAACAAAATGTATTCGTGAGTGTACTGCGTAGGCGCAGCGCGCGGCCTCTACGCCTCTGTGCAGGAAGGAACACATGTTTACGTTGCTGTGAGATTCCCTTGTCTTCATAATCGTACAGCTTTACCTTGATATCATCATTATTTGCAAAATTAAGAAAATAAAAAAGGTTTTTAAAAGAAGAAAACAAGAAAATTTCCAAAATAAAGAAAGAACGTGCTAGGCTATGCAAGAAATAATTAATTCAAATTTAAAATATCTATTAAAGTAACGAATGACCAATGATGGAGGGAAACGACTTAATTTACTCAGTTTACCTGCCGGTGAACTGGTTTTGCCAGGTTTTCTTATGTTTATGCTAAGCACCCCATTAATCTAAAATTCCCGATCAGGTTCTGGTCAGATCCAAAGGAGGATACGTGTTTGAATATTTAACTTTTTAACTATCATTAAATCGATGCAAAATGGATGAGCATCGCGTAAAGTTTTAAATAGTAAAATGTTTGCAATTATCCTTATTTTAATAAGTGTAGTTGTTAAAATAAGGAGTAAGTAATTGCATAAACACTCACCTTCCATTGCGTAGAGTTGTATTCTGAGGTAATGTTGTGGTGGTGGTGGTGATATCCTCGTGCGTGAGCTTCTTAGCGGTCCGGGGTGAGACGGGCGTCCTCGGGGATGAGGGTTCGGGCGTGACGGTGCGCTCGTCATCGTCGTCGTCGATGGGGCGGTAGGAGCGGTCGCCGCCGAGCGCGCGGCGCACCAGCTCGGGGCTGGCGAGGCGGTTGGGCGCGCGCAGCATTCCGGGGCGCAGGCCGGGCGCTCCGTAGGTGAAGGGCGCGGAGTCGGCGCGCGCGTGGTACGGTATGTCAGGGGCGCGGTCGGCGAGCGACTGCGGCGCCGGCGGCGGGTCGGGCAGCGCGCTCACGGTGCGCAGCATGTCGCCCAGCAGCGCGTCGAGCTCGTCCGGCGGGCTGGGGGCGGCGCGGCGCCCCGCCGACGAGATGCCCGAGTCCATGGAGGCGCTGAGCGGCGAGGACGGCCCGCCGCCGCCCGCGCGCACCACCGTCGCGTAGATGGACCCGTCGAGGGGACCGAACGTGTGCGCAGCTTCGGCACCCTCGCCCGCTTCACCACCAGATCCGGAGCCTTCAGCGCTGCCGTTGTTCTCACCTACACACAAAACGCTACTATTCAAGATGTAAACGAGTGCAGAGTAATAAGCGACCCAGTTATTTCATTAACAGCGACTGATGATTTTATACAGCGTTTAAATTGAATTCGATTCACTTCAATAAACTCTCGAGAACACCTAGGTACCTATTCAGACGGTATAACGACGATGTGTAATTTTCTACTGCGATCCTCGAGGCCAGAATCAATTAGCATTTTAAAGCGACTAATTGCGAGTTATTATTGGAGCTTTACACGTGTTGTCAAGGAAATGATCTATTAATTAACCGTTTATTCGCTAGTTCCAGGAGCCGCGCGGTTGGCTCGGCAGCCGCAGCCGGACTGCGTCCTTATAGGGACTAAGCTCGCCTCCCGTTATCCCGTCAGCTCAAGCTGGGGACACCGTTGTCAACTCGGGAGGAATGAGGATCAACCTCATTATAGGCCGGACCCTTAAAGGGTTGCTACAAACTTACGGTTACAGAGGGGCAGCATAATCTCTTTAAGATGATTAATTTGGAATGGATTTATGTTATTATGAAGATTTTCTTCATCTATTACTTACTTTACTTTTCAAAATTCTTTATTTAAACAAAACACATTATACAGTTACACTATAAAAATAATACCATACAGTATAACTTACATCTTAAATGCGATAACACTTCACCAGGCCAAAAACACCTCTCAAAGCTTAACTACACTGAATTTATAAACAAAACTATTAGCTAACACAAATAATTGTAAAAGATTAACATAAAGCAAGAAAATTATGAAGCTTTTAGTGTAAACTTCATATTTTAAAGAATGATTCAATAAACAAACTGAATAATTTTGCAAGTCGGGTAGNAACTTACGGTTACAGAGGGGCAGCATAATCTCTTTAAGATGATTAATTTGGAATGGATTTATGTTATTATGAAGATTTTCTTCATCTATTAAGTTTGCAAGAGTTCTATCATATCTAAAGTTAGGTCCATAAAAAAGACAAACATTACTGTTTCGGGCACGTACTGATGTAAGTCCGTGACACGAAACGGATAACCTCGATATCGTTAAAGCCGTCGTAAAGAGTACACAGAGCATCCGCGCGGGTTGGCGGTTCAAGGCGACAGGCACTGAGGAAGTGACCTCATGTTACTTCTGACAGTTTTTTTCGAATAAGATAGAGCAAAAATCGGAATCGGCAAAAATCTGTTTAAAATTCTTAATTAAATTACGTAATAATTTATTAAACAGGAAAATTTGAAAATAACTTTACATGACTCTATTTAACATGTTTTGAGACAAATAAATAGGTATTTTCTATCTCTATCTACCTATTTAAGTAGGTACTTACTTATTATTTATTTTTGTGGAGCACATGCATAGTTGATGTACAGATTCATGACAGAGCTAACTAAAACCTTATTAAATAAAGAAATATTTCTCGTATGTTTGTAAGTAAATATTGAAAACAGCAATTGCGACATCGTATCTTAAAAGGAGATTTACTATTTGCATTACAAATATACTTATGACACACAGAAGGCAGACGTGTCCCAATATTTCATTCAATTACCTGTACAGTATGGACTTCTTCAGTTGTGAATGTTTGCTCTCTCCGCGTAAACACCTAAAGAAACGTTAAAACATTTGGGCAAAACAACCGCGCGGGCGATACTTGAATCAGTCAACCGAGTAAATACTGAATGCAAATAAGGAGCAGTGGCTCCGACACGCGGACTCATTTACATAATGAATACGACATATTCGGCGACAAAGTTTTATGTTAAATTTTTATTGCTTTTTACACGAGAGCAGAGAACGTAGTCCAACGGACAGATTCTAATCGTGGTCCGTTGGTTTCGAAACTGAACTAAAAGTGAGGTTGTCAATAACGCAATTAGTGTAAAGATATCAACGTCAGCGTCTGGTGACCGTCGGGCGCTGTTAAGGAAGATGTGGTTATTTCTGTGATGTCAACGAAAATAACGCGGCTCGGCGCGGGGGCTACTGTTACGAAATGTGCGCCGGCGCAGGAAGAGGATGTGCGGCGCGCCCTCGCCCTACGCACGCGCCATCTACTTCTAATGGACAGATCGTGTGACAATTTAATTCATCGCCTCCTCCAGTGAAAGAACAATCGAATTATGAGAGCTAATAGATTCGTTACGGTCGTAACTGCATACGATTTGTAACGATGTCCGAGTGTCAATGGGGACGTCGCCGGTGTCTTTTAGCTCGTTAACTAATGAAAATTGGCGTGACCGTGATGCGACGTTGAAGATCGGATGCACGCAGTCACGCCCGTTGCACAAATAAGAGCAAGTTTTTGTTATGATGTGGACAATATTTAGTTTCGTGGACATCGTGGACGTTTGCGGCAAGTTACGAGTCGCGAAGGTGAACGCGTGGCCGACGGCTCGCTGATGTCATCGGACCGCTCCACCTTGTGTTTCTACGAAACTAAGCCCCATATTATTATTCCACCCGTTTCGCTATCTCTGTTCGTACCCGGCTTTGGGCGATTTGCAACCAGTTTTGGAATTTTTACTCGTTTTGGTTTTAGTTATGTTTAGATTCGGCCACTTTTCTTACATCGTTCCAAATTAAAAGACGCTGTTTTGCGCATCATATTCTGAGGTCGCCTTTCTGGTTATTTAATTATAATAAAAAGTACATTACGAACACGTAATCTTACCCATTAGCTGCCCCTGGCAATATTCCTTATTCGCAGATTAATCGCTTAAATTAATTGCAAGTACTTTACTGATCCTCACATTCACTTAATGAAACTGTCTGAAAGCTTTCCCACGACTCAACCACTGAACGACACGTCTACAATAAGTGCACTTATGATGTTGACTGTCCATAAAGCAGAGCCTGAAAGCTCGCGATAAATTAATGCTGATCCGATAGCAAGGTTTGCAAGGGCTTACTCGATAAGCTTTTAGCGACGCTGCACTTGACTTTCTCATAACTATAAATTGCAACGGTACACGTCATACCTACTTAAAATGAACATAGTAGCTTCATGAACACTTAAAATAAAAATGTTTTCTAAAATTAAATCGTATTTTAATTTAAATAATTACCTAATTTGCATCAGGCTTTAGGTAGGCCTAACTTTATTTTGACGCGGTTTAGCATTCTATGTAGGTACCTGAAGAGTTAAATTAAATAGCCTTAAATGGAAAGTTTTAGTGAAAGTTACTTTATTTAGGCTCTACCAAATCACTATCGCTAACATAATATAAAAACAAATTTAATTAAGTTCATAATCCATCACTCATCCATTATCCATGCTTGTCTTGATTAATATAAGCCGAGTTCAATAGGGCATGGCAGATAACGTTTTGCACCACAGGGGTGACGTCAATACAAACGGATGGCTTTGCGTGTGAACCTAAATTTGTTGACGCTGTACGAGCATGGAGCCCACACCGGTACATCCACATATCTACACATAGGTAATCTTATTAGTTTAAGTATACCTACGTATCGTGTTACTTAAACCACATGACACGTCGTAATCGGTGCGTTTTATTACAAAGCGAAACGATCAATAAAACTGTAGCCGATTCTCACGAACAGCGAAGATTGAAGAGTATTCGAAGGTATTAAGGTATGCGGGTGGTTCTTCGTCTCAGCTCGTTCGGTCGAATTAAGTCGAAGTATGACGAACGCGAGACCCTTAGCCAGGCCGCCGGCGACGCCTCAAGTGGACATACATCAGCGATTCACCACGCCGGTCAATTAGTGCGCAGGCGCCGCCGCAGCGGAACGACTCGCCTCTCGTTTGTCCACACAAATAACAATACTTTGTCCACTCATAAGCGCTATTGTTAAAACCCGATTGTATCGTTCGACACGCCTTTCACAACACAAACATAACTTTTTAAATAATAGCTGTTGTGCTTTTTTATTACACAACAAACACGCGTAGGCGTAGGATGAGGTTTTAATTAACAATAATGGCATTGTAACTAACACTCACCCTTTAGATTTTGTTCACTGAACGTGTTTTTGATTCAATCCATTGGTACGAACTGAGGTTAATTTATGTCTGTTACATATACAGAACGGTGTGCTGGTAATAGATCAAACGTAGCGACTTTGAATGGACGCACGTGCGGCGCGGTCGGGTCGGGCGGGCGGCAGTCGCGCGACTGGGCGGGCGGCCGCGTCCGGGCGGGCGGCGCTACTGCCACTAAAATAGCTTCGCACCTGCAACGGCACACAGCCGCGAAACGCTAACCGCTTTATCAACTACACTGTGACACATTTATGGGCCGTACGTAGGTAATCGTATGAAGGGATTGACATTATTACCTACCGCGTAATCCTTTAACGAGCTTTGGAAATATATTTCACTTTTATAGTATCATTATCCTGTTAAAAAACTAATAGATATCCAATTATTTTCAGTCAGAGATGCAATGCGTGTCACTCCTGCGCATGAAGAACTATAACTTTATAAATTAAGTTCATAAATTCCCTTTAATAAAAATCTTTTTTTTAAAGGCGATTAAGTGCTAAACTGAACTTAATAAAAACCAACAAATTTTTTTGGGAAATGTGGTGAAAACGCGACTCGAGTTATAGTTGCGCCGGACTCTTTGGTCGTTATTTATGCGCGGATGTGGTTAGTAGCACACCTTTGAATTACAGTCCGTTGTTCGTTTTGTGTCAACAATCCTAAATTATTTAGGTTAACGATGAAATTAGACAATACAACACAAAACTTAAAAGAAATATACAGAAATTATATTTTAGTAATCATAACTTCATGATTTATTCACTCACAAATTATTTGTTACTAACTACATAGTATTTTCGTTGTGAACATGACTTTTGCCTCCTTAGCCCGATGGCGCAGTGTGATGATATTATTTCCTTGAGCGCAATTTGTGGAACTCTATTCCCGGTCGAGCCAATTTAGAAAACGAAGCTTAACTAAATTGATTACAGCCTGGACACTTATATTATTATGTAGAGAATCTTTAAGAATTTTGTTCTGTTTTTCAACATCTCCTTGATTCATCATCAACAGCCCTTTACAGTCCACTGCTGGACTATGAGCCTCCTCCACTATAGTGGAGGGTTTTGCCATAATCCCCACGCTTGGCAGGCGGGTTGGAGATCGCAGTTTAAAAGATTGATGTTTTTCAGAGAGCGCTGCTGCCCGTTCTCTGTTTGATGTGTGGACCCTAAGTCGCCTCTTACGACACCCGCGGGAAGAGTAGGGGTTGGTGACAAATGTATTCTACTCTGCCGTCACCACACGGCTTGATTGCTGCACTTTTTCTCTAGTGAATCTCTATGTCGTGTATTGATCACTTGATACTTTATCTTCAGGCATCCATTTGAAAGATGTTTACTTGATAAATTGTTGAAGTATTGCTATCTAGTATTTCAAAGTCTATAAAGATCATCGATGTACTTACAAATTAATTGCGCATAAAGAATAATTTCACATCGCTTATCTTGAGTTCAATATTGAAAAACTACTTCGTATATCTTCCTAAAACTGAAAAAATGTCGGCCGTTTGGTGTAGTGGTTCAGAACGGACTACTATTCCGAGAGGTCCCGGGTTCGATTCCCGGCCGGGCAGAAATTAAAATGATGAATTTTAATTTCTGTGGCGGGTCTGGGTGTTACTATGTACTATAATATGTATGTATTTACAAAAAAAAAGTATTTAAGTATGTTTATATCCGTTCTCTAGTCTAGTACCCATAGTACAAGCTTTGCTTAGTTTGGGACTAGAGGCACAGACCAAAATGTCCAAGGATATTTATTTATTTAAATTATCTCATCCGGAGGCGTCAAACGACGGCACCCCACTCAGTCATTAGACTATATTTGCACCTGAGTAGTTGAGCGTCAATTGCAGCAAATTGCGACAATGTTGCCCGTTACGAGCGTCGGATGTGGGCAGTCGCAAGTGCACCTAATGCGGGCCTTCCCTGCCGTGCCGCTACAGGAATAGACCGAAAACTGCGGATGTCGAACTAGTAAATTGTTCACCTACAACTCACATTTAATGCGTAGTTTGTCGGGTTTCAAGTGCTGGAAATAAGGAAATCCATACACATACTTTCAGTACTGAAATTCACTGAAGTAACTTTGATGTTCACTTCCACGTGATGTAGTTTTCATATTATTATCAGACTATAAATAATTGTATATTTATCGTATTAATTTCTCTCAATTTTAGTATTATTTAAAATAGTTAAACTTCATTTAGCAGTAGGTATTATCCGCTAGGTTATAAATGACTTGTTCTAAGCTACAGATGGAATATTGAAACTGATAATATTGTGAATTTGAGCGCAGATTTATTCATGTGCTTTCGATTATTTGGAACTACTTAGGCTGGGTTGCACCATCATAATTTAACTTTAACAAACGTCAAAAATCTGTCAAACTCCACTCCATACAAAAAGCACCGGTAATCGTTATATGTAGTTACGGTCAAAGTTAGGTGGTGCAACTCAGCCTTAGAGTCCAGATGATGGTAGATAAAAAATAAGACTATACGTTTATAGCTGAGCACTTTTAATTCTCACTATAGTTAGAACGACGCGGTGCGGTCAGTGTGCAATGACACTGGCTACAGCTCCATAGCAAAAAAAAACAACTTAGAATATAGTATTATTTAAATCGAAAACTCAATCTTCGCTCATCAGTCGCTCTTAAGTCTTAACCTAATCTAGTTGGCACACTCACCAGGGTCATCATCGGTGAGCGTCGACAGCGGCCTCAGGTGCTCCAAGGAGTCTGCCCTGGCCAGGGCGTCAGGAGCGGCCCGTAACGGCGCCGCGGGTGTGGGAGCCGGCGCCGCGCCGCCTGCACCATCGCCCCGTGCAAACACCAGCTCCACGGCGCCGTCGCTTGGGAACGAGGGATCTGGGTAATAAGAAAATTGTCGTTAGTTTTATTGTAAACATTAACTAGTAGGAAGGGGTGGATTCGATAGAGTATATTAACAATGATAAACAAGAGCTTTTATACAATGTAGGCCTATCATTCGTTGTAGAGTCGATAAAGTTGCATACATCTATTGTTTTGTAAATAATTGAGGACTTGAAAGCACTCTCTACTAATGTAACTATTATTTATTAATTATTTAAAAGTTATTTATAGTAGATATCTGGATCAAATCGGGCTCGAAGGACCAATATTTTATCGTACAATAAGACCCCAACTGTACCTTTACATGTAGTGTTAGTTTGCAGATGTAACAACATAACAGAATCAGGTACCTAAAACCACATTCTTTACTCGTGTGCTTAAAACTGTCCGATTCCGTAGATGGCGTTTTAATTGGTCCCACACATTTATTATAATATCTACACATGCACTTGGTCGATAAATATTATTAATAATTAAGTAATTAAGTAAAAAGTACCATGAGCTGCATGGTCAAGCTGCTGCTTGGTGAACGATAGGGTATGATCCGCTACAGCACAGGTGTGGAACTGGCACGCGAAGACCAGATGGCGGCGCGCCTGCGCGTGCGCCGGCCGCCGGTACGCGCGAACCAGCACGTCGCCGCGCAGAGCCAGACGCCCCACGCCCACTGTCCAGCCGCCGCCGTTCACCATATAGAGACCTGGACAAAAGGAATATAAGATAGAGATAGGAGATAAAATATGTGAAGAGTCCCTTTTTAACGTTCACAAGTGTCAAAATGGAATAAAGACATTTTATTCCATTTAATTTCAAAAGTTCAGTTTTACTTCTAACAATTAAGTTTACAAATTCGAGTCGTGAAAATTGTAGGTATGCGTGGAAATTCTTTTTTTCTGGAAATTATCCTGACAAAAAGAATTTATTAAGCACGAAGCCATGAGGCTTAGTAAGGTTTGCACATTATTTAAGTAATTTTAAATATTTAGTTAATGATATGAGTGATGATTGATGAATGATACGTGATATTACCCTTTCCCTTGAGTTTCAGTAAAGATTGGCAATTTACTTTAACCTGACGCGGACTTCTTGAAATAACTTGAAAAGTGATTTACGGTTTTGTTTTATTTGCCTACATCAATGCACGTTCACAAACACTTAATTAATCCACCAATAATACACATTAATAATCGGGTAAACACAAAATGTTTGAAAATAAAACAAAACTGCTAAACTTGACGTTTCACATTCCCGCCAAAAAGTCCTGAGTGGAAATTCGAGAGTCCAAAGCGACAAAAGAAAATCGATATCGGTCGTCAAAAAAAAACAAAGTTTTTCTTAGTGGCCAGTGCCGCGCGACCAAGGAGGCGGCAGTGTGCGGCCGCAACATCCATCACTCTCTTTCTTAGCCTAGGCGTAGACCAGCGAGCGACTTTTAGTTGGCCGAAAGATCGGTCGGGTTGTTAATCAATATGGAAATGTATGAAAGCGCGCACATTACACCGATTTGGTATCAATTGGCCGATTCTTCATACAAATTAGAATCGGGCCCAACTATCGGCCAACTAAAAGTCGGTGGTTTGCGCCTAGGCTTAAGAATATCTAATGAGAGCCCGTCTTAGTAGATTTTATATTTATATTTTCTGATGTTAGTTACCTGACGTGTAAACGCAGATGAAGTTTTCGTATATCTTGAGGAAGGCGATGGTGGGCGTGGCGGGTGAAGCCAGCGAGCCGGCCACGCTCACGTGCGTCAGGTGCAGGGGCGCTGCGTTCACGCGGATCTGTCCAGCCAGGAGTCCCGCGAAGGTGTCTATGTATCTGCAATTAACAATACAAATAAAGATTTTTTTATGTAACGTAAATGTAGAGGGCTTAAAAAGTTTTCAGTCACTTATGGGTACAGGATGTAATTTTTATATTTGATTAAACAAAAAGAGTTGATTCTACTACCTACTCAAATACAACTACTTTTCCTAAAGGACCAATGTCAAATTCTCAAAATAAGTGTAGGTCGCCATACAAATTGAGTCCCTATTTCGCTTAGTCACGCCATAACTTGAGAGCGACATTCAGTTTTCTAATACTTTGCAGTTTCTTACGGAAAAAAAAATTAAGAAAATGGCGCCGAAAATTGGATAATTTCAGAAAACTTTACGACTATTTTAACTTTGCGCATTTAAATCTTATCGCGGTTACTAAAGGAAGTATAATAACTGCTTGCAATTGTTATGGGAAGCTTTTCAAGCTGCTATGATTACGTACCGTTTGTTTGAAGGCAAGTGGAAGACCGGCACGCGATCGTCGAGGTACCTCCTCATAGCGTACCGGTCTAACGCATGCTCGGGCGCACCACAGATTGCAGAGTAGTGCATGTATGCCGCCACTAGTACGCCGAGCCTCTCTCTGCTACCCCTGGAAACAATGACAGTAAATAAAAATTAGTAAAGTTCTGACAATATTATCTTCTGAGTCTTGGTGAATAATGGTTAGAATTGTAATCATTGTTAGGATTGTGTCCAAGCTTTTTTAATATTAGAAACATCGATTAAAATAGTACTTTAATTAAAATTAGTTTTTAAGAAAATGAAAACAACTAATAAAAATACTTAAAGAAAACTTTACATGTCTCATAATATGTATTATTGCCCTATAGGCCAGTAGAATTAAACACAAAAATGAATTAAATCGGAAATAATTCCTACTAAAGATTTTAGTACTTTAATGGCTTCATTAGTTGCCCATAAAGACTCTCCTAGGTTTTCGACTTCGACGGAGTTGTGCTAAAGTGGTGGGGGCCCCCGAAAGGGGCGCTTTTTCGGTTTTCCGGTTATACCGCGTAAAGGACTTACCCTATCGAAAAGTGGTCTTCCTGACGGTTGAAGGGCATTTAATCCTGCATTAAATAAGACCAAATTCATATGTTTTGAACAAACCGTTCTCGTGTAAATGTTCGGCAAAGTAGAAAATATATGTATAATTAATGACCCTCTCCACGTCCAATGGTTCGTTACCCGCAGGCTTCCAAGTCTTGAAAAGGAGCGCCTCAACCAGTGTAACCCTATCAAGGCTTACGAGCTGGATGCGCTTATCCTTGTTCGTCCCAGCCGTTCCGTTTGGTCTTATTTAATGCAGGATTAAATGCCCTTCAACCGTCAGGAAGACCACTTTTCGATAGGGTAAGTCCTTTACGCGGTATAACCGGAAAACCTAAAAAGCGCCCCTTTCGGGGGCCCCCACCACTTAAGCACAACTCTGTCGAAGTCGAAAACCTAGGAGAGTCTTAATGGGCAACCAATGAAGCCATTAAAGCAATAAAATCTTTTGTAGGAATTATTTCCGATTTAAAATCTAATTCTACTGGCCTACTAGACTTTGTAGGTAAGTAAGTAAAAGATTATATTTACTCACCAGGCTAATAAAATGGCGACATTCTTCGGATTCGCTCCTAACCAGCTTTCTATGTGTTTGCAAGCAGCGCATAGCCTTTCTAGTGGTGGGGCCAGCTCGCCCGCCCAACCAAGCGATCGCGCACGCCCAAATACGCTGCGCGCCGCCCGCCCATCGCCGCTTCCGTCGCCGCTACTCACTTCGAATACCTGCAAAAGGAAATATTTGGAATGTCATTTGTTTGTTTTTAGAAGTAAGTATTTCACAAAGATAACTTTTAATAGTTAACTATAACAAAATGTAATGAGACTCGAAACCCCTTTAAAATCATGAGTAATATTTGCTAATTGTCATGGAAAGTATTCCATTCATATACGAATAATTGTAGTGAGATTAATTCCAACACACGGGCCATTTCACTATCGTAAGTGGCTACGAAATGGTTCAAATATTATTGTATACAGAACAGATTTGCAGACCTGCAGTGTATGCCTGTGTATTACATGTGTAAACATGTAACCACCACTCGCTTGGTTCGCGCATTCATTGAGCTCATATCTTGCCTGTGCGAATTGCCTTTAATACGCTTCATAGAACATTATTATTCCAAATATGATTGCTACTCACCATGAAGTGGTCTCCATGCTTATTGGCGAGCATATGCGCTGCCTGTGCTTCTGCATGCGCGTCTCTCTCCGGCAGATGCAGCGCCAGCATCCGTTCCGCCACGTAGCAAAGATCTAGCCGCGATCCCGCGCCCCCAGGGTAGCTCGCTGACCGGGGACCAGACTGCAGATAACATAGAAAATGTGATATTAAAACCGCATTCAAATCGGATATAGCTTTCCTCTTTTGGCGTCAGGGGTTAAAAACTTTAAGAATAATATGGCAACCAAATGATACGTGAGGTATGAAACTGAGTGAATTGAAAAACACACATGTACCTATAAGATATGACGTTATAAGTTAACTGTGAAACATAATACTTGTGGCTTAAATAATAGGGTTGACCCCGCTTGGTTTATCGAAACCGCGAAAAGCGCTAGTTTCATTTTGACATTTAACTAAAACCCTTAAAAAGTAGGTAGGTATTTACAATTTGACATACTATCTCATAACCCACTCATGTTATGGAGATGTGTAAATAAAATCTGTTAACATTTTACTACAAAGCTAGTAAGTTTTGCTACCAGCAACATAGTTGACATAACAATACAAGTAACATAAGAGTTAAAGATTGCGGTAACTGTTTTACGAGTTGCAGGCGTGTTTCAAAAGAATGTACCAGCTACGCGTAGGTGTGAGCAGTAATGACATGTGCCTATTAGAAAAGTGTGACAGTAAACAGCGAAAAGCCCTGATTTGCCTTAGCTAGGTGTTTGTGTCAGATCAACAAGAGGTCGTAGGCGCAGACATACTCTCTAATCTGTGGTAGGCGCAGCGAGAAAGTGACACAGCGTTGCGTAGGCGCGAACAAATGACGGCATAACTCCAATGCATTTAATCCGATTTGTCTAGTCTACTTAAGTTCTAGTGGAGTAATGCCCGTTTTCACCATCGATCCCTTAAGCGTTTGCTAACTAAATATCACTTTGGTTAAACGATCGCCTAAACTGCCCACTAACCTAAGTTCGTTTTCACCATGCTATAGTAAACCTAAGTAGGGACTCTTTTGTCAGGTGGCGTTTCTTCGTGCGCCTAGTGACGTTTGAAAAACCGGTACTTTCCGATAAAATATTTTATTGGGAATATCTTACGTATTTCACAGAAACAAATAAAAAAAAAGTAAAACTAAGAAATAGTTGACCAAAACTGATGTTTTTTTGTATTTTTGAGTTATTAATAAAGACAAAAAAGATATTTGGGCTATTATGTAATCTGTGGTTTGGGTGCATAACAGTGCATAATGTAATTCCTTTGCCTTAAAAAAAGTAAATGTCAAAATGACTGCTGCACCACATTAAATGAAAATAAAAATGTTCTTATTGATTTTGATAGATATTTTGTTGAGTTCTGTGTGTAGTTTTGTGCGATTTTTAACGATAAAACGACAATGGAATAAAGAAATGAAGCAAAATTTTTCCCTCAAGGAAAAAGATAAATTGGTTATAATTTTACTTGCCCACAAGGATACTGTACGAGCACGTCAGCATCGACCGCGACCTACGTGCTAGCCGACTGGCCCATGAACCCTCAACGTGCACCGTAGGCATTCTACACCGACGGCACATTCATTGGATTGGACACATTGAATTGTGTAAATCTTGTATATAGCAATAGCATAACAGTAATAAACCAGATATCAACCGTCTGCGTTGTGTTTCATTTACCCCCACTGAGGCCAAGAAAGCCTTAGTGCAGCCCTCCTTCCTATCAAAATATCTTTAATATATCTAATTATAAGGTATTGTTAGGGCTCTAGGGACTACAACCGAAGCCAGAAATATAGTTAGGTTATTTGATAAGTTATGAGTGACCAATACCTACTATCTATACCGTATGTAATCCTGTCTCACTATAATATTATTAGGTGCCCGTTTNAAAGTGATGTACGGTTTTGTTTTATTTGCCTACATCAATGCACGTTCACAAACACTTAATTAATCCACCAATAATACACATTAATAATCGGGTAAACACAAAATGTTTGAAAATAAAACAAAACTGCTAAACTTGACGTTTCACATTCCCGCCAAAAAGTTCTGAGTGGAAATTCGAGAGTCCAAAGCGACAAAAGAAAATCGATATTGGTCGTCAAAAAAAAAACAAAGTTTTTCTTAGTGGCCAGTGCCGCGCGACCAAGGAAGCGGCAGTGTGCGGCCGCAACATCCATCACTCTCTTTCTTAGCCTAGGCACAGACCACCGACTTTTGGTTGGGTTGTTAATCAATATATGGAAATGTATGAAAGCGCGCACATTACACCGATTTGGATTCGGCCGAATTCTTCATACAAATTAGAATCGGGCCCAACTATCGGCTAACTAAAAGTCGGTGATCTGCGCCTAGGCTTAAGAATATCTAATGAGAGCCCGTCTTATTAGAGTTTATATATTTTTCTGGTGTTAGTTACCTGACGTGTAAACGCAGATGAAGTTCTCGTATATCTTGAGAAAGGCAATGGTAGGCGTGGCGGGCGAGGCCAGCGAGCCGGCCACGCTCACGTGTGTTAAGTGCAAGGGAGCTGCGTTCACGCGGATTTGTCCAGCCAGGAGTCCCGCGAAGGTGTCTATGTATCTGCAATTAACAATACAAATAAAGATTTTTTTAAGTAACGTAAATGTAGACTGCTTAAAAAGTTTTCAGTCACTTATGGGTACAGGATGTAATTTTTATATTTGATTAAACAAAAAGAGTTGATTCTACTACCTACTCAAATACAACTACTTTTCCTAAAGGACCAATGTCAAATTCTCAAAATAAGTGTAGGTCGCCATACAAATTGAGTCCCTATTTCGCTTTGTCACGCCATAATTTGAGAGCGACATTCAGTTTTCTAATACTTTGCAGTTTCTTACGGAAAGAAAAATTAAGAAAATGGCGCCGAAAATTGGATAATTTCAGAAAACTTTACGACTATTTTAACTTTGCGCATTTAAATCTTATCGCGGTTACTAAAGAAAGTATAATAACTGCTTGCCATTGTTATGGGAAGCTTTTCAAGCTGCTATGACTACGTACCGTTTGTTTGAAGGCAAGTGGAAGACCGGCACGCGATCGTCGAGGTACCTCCTCATAGCGTACCGGTCTAACGCATGCTCGGGCGCACCGCAGATTGCAGAGTAGTGCATGTATGCCGCCACTAGTACGCCGAGCCTCTCTCTGCTACCCCTGGAAACAATGACAGTAAATACAAATTAGTAAAGTTCTGACAATATTATCTTCTGAGTCTTGGTGAATAATGGTTAGAATTGTAATCATTGTTAGGATTGTGTCCAAGCTTTTTTAATATTAGAAACATCGATTAAAATAGTATTTTAATTAAAATTAGTTTTTAAGAAAATGAAAACAACTAATAAAAATACTTAAAGAAAACTTTACATGTCTCATAATATGTATTATTGCCCTAGACTTTGTAGGTAAGTAAGTAAAAGATTATATTTACTCACCAGGCTAATAAAATGGCGACATTCTTCGGATTCGCTCCTAACCAGCTTTCTATGTGTTTGCAAGCAGCGCATAGCCTTTCTAGTGGTGGGGCCAGCTCGCCCGCCCAGCCAAGCGATCGCGCACGCCCAAATACGCTGCGCGCCGCCCGCCCATCGCCGCTTCCGTCGCCGCTACTCACTTCGAATACCTGCAAAAGGAAATATTTGGAAGGTCATTTGTTTGTTTTTAGAAGTATTTCACAAAGATAACATTTAATAGTTAACTATAACAAAATGTAATGAGACTCGAAACCCCTTTAAAATCATGAGTAATATTTGCTAATTTTCATGGAAAGTATTCCATTCATATACGAATAATTGTAGTGAGATTAATTCCAACACACGGGCCATTTCACTATCGTAAGTGGCTACGAAATGGTTCAAAAATTATTGTATACAGAACAGATTTGCAGACCTGGAGTGTATGCCTGTGTATTACATGTGTAAACATGTAACCATCACTCGCTTGGTTCGCGCATTCATTGAGCTCATATCTTGCCTGTGCGAATTGCCTTTAATACGCTTCATAGAACATTATTATTCCAAATATGATTGCTACTCACCATGAAGTGGTCGCCATGCTTATTGGCGAGCATATGCGCTGCCTGTGCTTCTGCATGCGCGTCTCTGTCCGGCAGATGCAGCGCCAGCATCCGTTCCGCCACGTAGCAAAGATCTAGCCGCGATCCCGCGCCCCCAGGGTAGCTCGCTGACCGGGGACCAGACTGCAGAGAACATGAATAATTATTGTGATATTAAAACCGCACCGCAAATCGTATAAATGAGCTATGGTGACACAGAACTGCCAAACACATAATTAAGTACTCTCCTTTTTTGGCGTTGGAGGTTAAAATCAGGCTATCAAAAGCTTAAGAATATTGCGACCAACGACAATATTCTGTAGTGTTAGTGATACGTGAAGTGTGAACTGAATTTAAAAACACACGTGTAATAAGACATTATAAGTTAACTGTGTAATATAATACTTGTGGCTGAAATAGGGTTAGGGTTGACTCTACTTAATATGTTTCCACTTCATTTAATCCAAACCGCGAAAAGCGTTAGTTTCATTTTTACTTAAAATTAAAAACTATAGGTAAGTAAGTAGTAAGCTGTATTTACAATTTGACATTACTCTCTCATAACCAATTTATGTTACGGAGATGTGTAAATGAAATCTAGTAAGTTTTGCTACCAGCAACATAGTTGACATAACAATACAAGTAACATAAGAGTTAAAGATTGCGGTAACCGTTTTACCAGTTACAGGCGTGTGTTTCAAAAGAATGTACCAGCTGCGCGTAGGTGTGCGCAGTAATGACATGTGCCTATTAGAAAAGTGTGACAGTAAACAGCGAAAAGCCCTGATTTGCCTTAGCTAGGTGTTTGTGTCAGATCAACACGAGGTCGTAGGCGCAGCGAGAAAGTGACACAGCGTTGCGTAGGCGCGAACAAATGACGGCATAACTCCAATGCATTTAATCCGATTTGTCTAGTCTACTTAAGTTCTAGTGGAGTAAGCCCTTTTAATCATAAAGTGGGTTTATAATGGCGGCTGATCACAAAGCCTCATAAACTTCAGATAGAGGAAAATGTTATACTTAAATCACCTACCAATCCAAACAGCTCTATTTTTTATAAGCTTGCTTATCATTAGGATTATAAAATGTACGTATTGTGTATTTTAAGTGTAATATTGTACCTGATCTCTGGCGAAGGCAGGCGTCCCAGGAGTCGCAGGAGCGCTCGCGGCACGCGTCTAAAACAAAAACATAACTCAAATAAAAATCACGACCAACTCGCATTGTGTTCCGCTTGTTGCAAGATAAATCAAGAAAAGTTCTTGCACAAGGTCAAGCCCGTCATTAAAATTAAATCAAAAGTTGTAATTTAATTCTCATAATTTTTTACCAATGCCGACCCTCTGTGATATGACAGGAGATACTCATACGTATTTTGTTTCACAGAGATAATGACAGTGAGAAATGAATTTGATCTCGCAAATAATGTTTTGTAATAAATACTCTCACAACATCGACGTATTAAATTCCAAATTATCTGAATCGGTGAAATACTCGTATTGATGATTGATGGTTTGCGATTTTCCAGTCAATATAAAAATACATTAGTTTTTTTATTATTATGTATAATATTAAACTCCACGATCTTCATTACACGATCCTTTGTTACCATAACATCTTGATATTGATCGATATCTTGAACCCGTGTAAATGGGAACTCAAAGTACAAATTGACTTGACTCTACCTAGTTCAAAAAAGTTTCAGCACTTTCCATAAAATGTTGGATTATGTAGGCGTTTGTAATGTGTAACATGTCAGTCGGTATTAGGGGTTGTTCGGGGCTCCCGGGGCCCCAGGGCCCGGGCGATTGGATCAGGCCAATAAGGTTGATAGATGAGCCAAGGCGCGGCTTAAGTGATTACTGCAGGCCTCCGAGCTATTACTTGCATTGTCTGTTACACTATGTAACGGTAGTGTAACTAATCCTTTATTAGATTAGGGAAATTGCTATATTTAACATCACGATCACGATGATTAAAAAAGTATTTTCACACTTGGTAGTAGTACTAAAACAAGAAGCTTTGTCTAAGTTGTTTATCAGTAATAATACTCGTATTTAACTGATTGTTAACTTCTAACACTTTTTTTTNCACCAACACTGAATAATTTGTAGTCATGAATGGATAATGGTAAATTATTTACCACCCAAAAAACTACCCCTTCCCCTATTTTTTAATAAATTTTGATCAAAAATATGAAATAAGTGACCCACAATTACCCAAAATCCACTTCAACTTTGTAAAAAAAATGCATACCAGCTCGCATTTGAATAAGGGTTAATAAACTTGAGTGAAAAAGTGTTTCCACTGTCTCAATTGCATATAAAGCTCCAAAAAAATCATATAATTCAGTTTCCATTTTGCCGAATAGGCGTGATTGACAATATAACTGTCACCTAACACTTAAACGGCCGAAAATCGGGCCCCTGTTTTAAAGTGATCCCATAAGGCCTAAGGTGTCCCTTATGTGTTGGTGAAAACGAAATTCCTGTTAGGTATTACCTAATATTACATAAAGGTCGCTTTAAAATTAGGGTTTGATGGTGAAAACGGCCATAAGCCCTTTTAATCATAAAGTGGGTTTATAATGGCGGCTGATCAAAGCCTCATAAACTTTATAGAGGAAAATGTTGTACTTAAATCACCTACCAATCCAAACAGCTCTACCTTTTATTTAATAGCTTGCATATCATAGAGTATAAGTTGTATTGTGTATTATTTATATGTATTGTTGATGTAAATTTGTACCTGATCTCTGGCAAAGGCTGGCGTCCCAGGAGTCGCAGGAGCACTTGCCGCTCGCGTCTGAAACAAAAACAAAACTTTATTATAAATCAAGACCAAATCGCATTGTGTTACGTTTGTTGTAAGATAAATCAAGAAAAGTTCTTGCACAAGGTCAAGCCCGTCATTAAAATGAAATCAAAAGTTGTAATTTAATTCTCATCATTTTTTACCAATGCCGACCCTCTGTGATATGACAGGAGATACTCATACGTATTTCGTTTCACAGATATAATGACAGTGAGAAATGAATTTGATCTCGCAAATAATGTTTTGTAATAAATACTCTCACAACATCGACGTATATATATATACGTCGATGTTGTGAGAGTATATAATTTGGAATTTACCAAATTATCTTTATCGGTGAAATACTCGTATTGATGATTGATGGTTTGCGTTTTTCCATTCAATAAAAACTGACTCGTTTTATTATTAATAATATAATATGTATTAAACATTCATTTAACACGATCCATTGTTACCATAATATTGAGTAACATAACTCTAAAATACAAATAAGATTTAAATTATATTACTTGACTCTACCTTTAGGTTAAAAAAGTTTCAGCACTTTCCATAAAGTGTTGGATTATGTAGGCGTTTGTAATGTGTAGCATGTCAGTCGGCATTAGGGGTTGTTCGGGGCTCCCGGGGCCCCGGGGCCCGGGCGATCGGATCGGGCCAATAAGGCTGATAGATGAGCCGAGGCGCGGCTTAAGTGATTACTGCAGGCCTCCGAGCTATTACTTGCATTGTCTGTTACACTATGTAACGGTAGTGTAACTAATCCTTTATTAGATTAGGGAAATTGCTATACTTAACATCACGATCACGATGATTAAAAAAGTATTTTCACACTTGGTAGTAGTACTAAAACAAGAGGCTTTGTCTAAGTTGTTTTATCAGTAATAATACTCGTATTTAACTGATTGTTAACTTCTAACACTTTTTTATCATTTATTAGAAATCATGATTTTTTACGCTTAGCTAACGAATTTTCCCCGACGTTTACCTAACAAGATATCGTTCTCACCCGCATGTATGTATTTGTATTCAATTAGCAGAGGCGTAGACGCGCGGATTACTCCGACGCTAAGTGAGTTATGATGAAAGCTTAGTGAAAGTGCTAACAGATACAGTGGGAGAAAATAATTATGAAAACATAATATCCGCTTAATATACTCTTTCAGACTTTCTTTTTCAATGAAAAATATTGTAAGGTTTTCATCTTTGTCTCTGTTTTTCATCTCTGTTTATTTAGCTATGTGATAGCGTAGGTATGTGAAAACTCTCAGCCATATTATTTCAGGTAAAAGCTTTCATCGTATGTATTAAGATTAAACGTTTTAGAAACGAATCATCTTTATTTTTTAGCTAGAGCTCGTAATCGTAAGTGAAATTTTTCTGGCATATTGTTTCCGTAAAAGGTTTCAGCATATTAAGAATTTATTACAGGTTTTCAGTGACTTATCTAGTTTTTTTAGCTAGAGCGGGATATGTGATGCGATTTGTCGCATCCCCATTTAGAAGACCTTATTATCATCTTCGTAAGAGTAATTGCAAGTGAAAACTCTTTAGGCACGTATTGTTTCAGTTAAAAGGTCTGAAAGGTTTTGAGTATCTTGAATCATGAGTAGATATAGTATAGTGTAGTAATTAGCAGGAAACACAATAAATGCTCGGGCTAGGTGGCGCCATCTTGCTGTAACTCTAATAATCTTCAAAAATCTATTAAATTCCATACAAAAAACACCCAGTTACTGCTATGGTAACGGTTGAAGTAGGCTGGTGCAACTGAGCCCGAAAACAAAAAACTAAGGACGAGAACTATTGCTGTACGAGCCATCGTANATATCATTTTATTATTAAGCATCATTATTTTTGAGCACTATATAAATCAATCATCATCCTTCTCACCAATTAACTATTTTAAGCAATTGTATTTTAATGTTTTCTTTTGCTGGTGAGAAAGATGTACGAGCCATCGTACATTATTACTTGCACATTTCCTTTTTATATAGTTAAATCATTTATTGCTAAGTAGGCGTTAAACACTTTACGTATAAGTTTGACCTAGTTTTAATTCACGCCTGTAGAATCACTTAGTAATAAATCAGTGTATGAGCAGCACTCAAACGGGTCGGTTTTATTTAGCACTCTTCGGAGTAACCCATCCCTCATCAGCAAGCATAGCATAGCAACTATTACAATTGCCGACAAACTGTAATGCAGTTTGGCAAGTGTATCTTTATATTTGATGTGTATCCTTTTGTGAACAATAAATTAAAAAAAAATCTTCTGTACTACTGTACATCTAGATCTTTAGCTAGAGGGTTTCATCTCGTTTAGAAGTCCTTATGATCCTCATTCTTAACTATTCTAAAAGTAGCTACTAGTAAGAGAGAAAAAAAGTATTTTTTTATCACAAAACACACCGGAGGCCGCTTGCGATCTCCAACGGCTAGGCTGCGTGACCGCGCGCGCTTGTTTACAGCGGGCGCGCGCTGCAGATAGAACACGGCTCGCCACAGCGTGAACGCGTGCCGGTGTAGCGCGCGCACCGCCTCCACGCCGGTTTCAGTTTAAACGATTGAAAAGCTTTGAAAACATGTTAACTTTATATTACAAAACACACCGGAGGGCGCTTGCGATCTCCAACGGCCAGGCTGCGAGAGCGCGCGCGCTTCTTTTCAGCGGGCGCGCGCTGTAGATAGAACACGGCGCGCCACAGCGCGAACGCGAGCCGGTGCAGCGCGCGCGCCGCCTCCGCGCCGGCGCCGTCGCATCGCCGCCCACGCCCGCGCATCGCATGCCACTACGCACGCACTGGCGCTACCTCCATAGTATTTTCAACTGAGATATTTTTGGTTGCGATTTTTTTTATCTTCATAAATGCATCTAGTACCCTCTTCGCACGCACTGCTACCTTCATGGTGTTTTCAACAGTTTTTCTGAGATATTTTTTTTGGTTGGGATTTTATCTTTATAAATGTAACATTTCTAAGTATCAGTATTACATGACGTTTTTCTGTAGGAAAAGGAAACTGCTCTACATTTATACGTGAAAAGCTTTGTTTTAGGGTTTCACTATTCTTTGGGAAAACTATGCAATTTGGTTTTATTACACACGAGTAGATAGGTGCATTAAAGCTAACTTTAACAGCTTTAAAGCTGAGCTACTAAATTAAAACATATTTTGGTATGTCTTAATTTAGTAAACAAATGAAATGGAGAATTAATAGAATTATTTTTTATTGAAAACATAAACTAAAAACATTGCCACTCTGCGACAACCGTTAAAGTTGAAGAAAAAATGTAACTCCGCGATAAGTAGAGACGTCTATCACATCTACGACTATTTTATACTTTTAATCAAGACAAGTCGCCGTCG